TTGTAAATATGTTGTGTGAATACGATGTTATATGTTTTAATGAGTGTTGGGTCAAATGCCCTAAGGAATTCAATTTAATTGGATATGAAAAGAAATATTTATCTAGAGAAAAGTGTAACGGGGGTGGCGTAATAGTGTTCTATAAGAAATGGTTAAAGTCTTATTTAGAAGTTATCGATTGTTGTATTGATTGTATGATATGGATAAAAATTGATAAAAATATAATGTTCGATAATGAAAATTTCTATATTTGTGCTATATACATACCACCCGATAAAAATGTTTATTATAGAAAGTATGATATTGACGTTTTCGATGTTTTACAACAACAAATTGAAATTTATTCAAAATTTGGTAACATTTCCGTTATTGGTGATTTAAACGGCCGAGTGGGTAATGAACCAGACTATCTTTTACAAGACGGGTTAAACAGAGAATTACTGGAAAAGTTGACAATTTAATTGAGTATACTGCGGATGTACCGTTAGTTAATAGATTGACTGAAGATTTAAAAACACCGAACTCTTTTGGTAAACGCATATTAAATTTGTGTAAATCTGCTGGCCTTAGGATATGTAATGGACGTTTTGGTGACTCAAGTAAACAGTATACATTTCAAAATAAAAATGGTTGTAGTGTTATAGATTACATGTTGTTATCTTGTAACTCATTTTCAATTGTTAAAAGTTTTATTGTAGGAAATTTTACAACTTTTTCATGTCATGCTCCATTATTTGTAGATATTAAATTAAAAGATTTATGCCAGAAAACTGTATGTACATGTAAAAAAATAAAGTATAATACGATACGATGGAATGAAGAGTTCAGGAATGAAGTCAGAGAAGATCTAATGCATAATGCACAGAAATTCGAAGAACTGCACAAAAGTATTACAGAAGATGCTGATGCTATTAATAATGCTGTGAATGTAATGAATGTTATTTTGACAAATATTTTTGAAAAATATACACGTAAAGAAGTAGAACGAACAATATGCTGTGATAATTGCACTGGTCGTAAACCGAGTACAAATTCGAACCTTAAGCAAGACAAACCATGGATAACAGATGATTGCAAATTACTTTATAAAAACTATAAGCATGCACTTATGCAGTTTAACCGAAATCATTCCGAGGAAAATAGACTAAAACTGAACTTAGATAAACAAAAATACAAAGTTATGGAAAATAAACTGAAACGAAATTATAAAAACAAACAAGGAAACATGTTTAACGCAATGAGAAAATCGAATCCGAAACGTTTTTACCGAAAATTTAAAAACAGCAAAAAAACTTTCTCAAGTAACATTTCAATAGAACAGTTTTTTGATCACTTTAAAAATCTGATGTCTAAAGATGACAATGATACCAGTACTGAGGATCAGATAGAAGGAGATAACTCGTGCATTTTCGAAGAATTAGACAGACCTTTCACCGAAAAGGAACTTGAAGACAATGTAAGAAAATTAAACAAGAATAAATCTCCAGGAGTGGACAATATTGTGAACGAATATATAATTGAAAGCAAACCAGTTGTATTACCTTTATTGTGTAAACTTTTTAATGTAATTTTATGTACTGGATTCTTCCCAGAACTTTGGGTGAAAAGTATAATAGTGCCGTTATTTAAAAAAGGTCCGGTTAATGACCCTGGAAATTACCGAGGTATATCATTAGTGTCTCATATAGGAAAACTTTTTACAGCCACTATCAATACGAGACTGTTGAAATGGAGCGAGGAACACAGTATCATCACAGACGCGCAGTTCGGATTCAGACCTGGCCACGGAACTCATGATGCAATATTTGCTCTTCATTCCATCATATCAAAATCTTTGAGAAACGGAAAAAGGTTATATTGTTGTTTTATTGATTATAAAAAAGCTTTTGACAGTGTTGAGCATTTTAAATTATGGATGAAATTAGCTAAATGTGGTATAACCGGAAAATTGTCACATTTAATAAAATCAATGTAATCTATTCTAACTTGAAATCATGTGTTAAACATGAGGGAAATTTTTCTGAGTTCTTTAACTGTGACATTGGTCTAATGCAAGGGGAATCCTTATCACCTTTTTTATATGCTATGTATGTCAATGATATTGAAATAGAATTAATAAAACAGGGTTGTCATTCATATGACATTGAAAATGCTCAATCTTTACTTATTGATGTATGCTGACGATACTGTTATTTTCAGCGAAAATATAAACGATCTTCAAAAAATGATAGATGTTGTACAAATATGTTCTGAAGGGTATAATTTACATATAAATATGTTAAAAACTAAGATTGTTGTATTTAGAAACAGAGGTGTTATCAAACCAGAAGAAAAATGGTTCATTAATGGAGAGAATATTGAGTTATGTGATGAATTTATATATCTAGGTATACTGTTAAATTATAATGGTATTTTTACGAATACTCAGAAAATGTTGTCAAATCAAGGTAAACAAGCTGTTTTTAGTTTATTCAGTAAAATTCAAGAAGACTTTTTCAATACAGAAACACTACTGTCTTAATTTGATACATATGTTTCAAGCATAGTGAATTATGGTAGCGAAGTTTGGGGATACCATAAAGCAATTGACATTGAAACTCTTCACTTATATTTTTTAAAGAGGATTTTGAAAGTAAAAAAGAGTACTACAAATTACATGGTGTATTTTGAACTAGGTAGAGTCCCATTGTATGTACATAGATACTGTAAAATGATGAAATATTGGTGTAAATTGTTAAAAACTGACAATTGTTTTCTGAAAAAATGTTATGCAGAAATGCTGGAGGCTAGCAATGTAAAAAGTAAAAATAAATTGAATTGGTCATGTAAAATAAGAGATTTATTATGTAATTTTGGCTTAAGTCATGTCTGGTTGACACAAAATGTTTTAAATGTAGATGTTTTTATAGCTGATTTCAAACAGCGTGTTACTGATAGGTTTATATCTGAAGCAATGTCATTTTTTGAGGAGTCTTCTAAATGTCAATTTTACAAATACATATATGACAGTCATGGTTTCCAGTTTTATCTTAGTAGACCTGTTAATTTTAGATATAAACCATTAATAAGCAAGTACCGTATACATGCACATAACTTAAACATTGAAACTGGAAGGTTTTTAAATATAAACAGAAACGAAAGAATATGTAATGTGTGCAACTGTAATTCTGTTGAAGATGAATATCATTTTATTTTGGAATGTATTGGATACAAAGATATTCGTATGAAGTATATCAAACTTTATTATTGGAGAAATCCATCAGTATTTAAACTTATACAATTGTTATCTGTTCGTAATATAAAAGAACTTAATAATTTTGGGAAGTATTTATGTATTGCCGAAAAAATTCGTAATCGTTGAATGTGTATATCATACTTTAATTAAGATTGTTAAATTGTGCTAATTAATGTCATGCTCCTACATTTGTTTTTAATTGTATGAATTGTATATTAATGAATTACCTTATTGTAATATTTGTTGCTTACTATATTTAATGTAATATTTATTGCACTTGATACCTATAAGCTGTATTGCTTTTGGAATAAAGAATATATATATAATGAAAACAAAACGCGAAAAATAGCAATTGTAATGTTTAATTAAGTTCGGTGATCAATCAACAACAAGGCAAACACAGGTGGTATACTTTTTTCAGACTCCTATCATTCTATGTTTTTTTAATGAGAATACGTAATTAAGGATGAATTAAGTCGAGCAAAAGAAGGTAGCGTAAGACTGAAAATAAGTCACATAATTAATATTGCAGTCACATAATTAATATTGCAGTCACATTTTCAGGTCGGAGAAGACGCAAAAAAGACTTAACAGAATTGAAAAAAAAACTGTCTGATGCATGACAGTTTTACTTATGTGAATGACAGTCAGTTATACTTCGGAACATATTTTATCAGTGCAAAGGTCGAGACGTATTTGACAAGTAGTTGAAATAGTATCAATGTACTGATTCCATATTTAACATACTTGCTTTAAAACACTAATTTCTTTTAAATTAGTTAAAATTAATTTGAAAAACAGGCGTTTGACCTTAACGGTTTTACTTTTGGTTTGAAGGTATTGTTAGTTTGACCCAGTGGGTTGATTAGGATATAGAAATATGGTAACTTGGCTAGGACATGATTTCAACTGCTGACGTCCTGCAATAAGAGGGCATTTTCGTGTGCCAGTGTCGCGGATGTATAGATACGCAGCAAAACATACGATCGGAATTGGATCATTGAATCTGATGCCTCGTGTTTGGAGAGTGTGTGCAATGCTCTCTACACACAGAACCCTTGCAACAACTCTTTTTTTTTTGGGGGGGGGGGGGGGGGTCCGTAAATGGTCTCAACCTCTTCTGTATGGCAAATGTTTCATACGTGACATTTTTTTCCAAGTGGCAGTCTAAATTTCCAACTATTTAGCCAAATCGACCGACTAATGTAGAACCAACATATCTTATTTTCTCCCTAAATACACATAATCAGAAGTCTATTACAATGGACTTCTGACATACAAATGTAATATACTTGCCCGGCACTGGGCGTACAAACCATTCAATATATATTGTTTAGGACCAATTTCCTTCAAATTTGATTTTAAGTATACATTGATTCTTGATATAGATATTAACATAGTTGTCATTTTCCTTTTATCCAGACTGCTTGCCAGGAAAGTGTTTTGGCGAAAATACACACACCCCACCACCCCCAAACCCGCGCAAATGTTAAAGCAGAGACATATAATACAATTGTATTATATGTCTCTGGTTAAAGTATAGCCGTCATATATATTTGGACAAGAAAATATAGAATAGATAGTGGACGTCGTAGAAAGCACACTGACAATGCAATATATGAAATGAAAATAAATTGGTATTTTTAAAACATCGTAAATTGACGAATCCAATATAGATCATATCATTATATATTATATTTTATAACAAATCATGTTCATAAGAAAGCTAATTATCGATTCGCACATATCTTTATTTTTAATAGTGGGAGGATGGTCACATGACTACTATTTTTAGATGGACAAAATGTCGGCAGATCTAACGTTCGGTAAGATTTAACTTGTTGCATAACATATCTATGTTTATGCTCATCTTTTGAAGAAAGTAATTATTTTACATGAAGTTAACTATTTTATTTTTCGTTAATAGGGTCCGTACCGCCATTTTATCGAGAGGTGTACGAAATATTATGTCCCAACCAAGAACAGGTTGACGAAGATCTGCTGGTCAACCTTTTACTGAAATCAAGTTTACCAAGAGCGACAATTACTCAAGTAAATATTGAAATTATACCATTATATATTGATATTAATACTGTAATATTTTAAATAGTTTGATTAATGCAACAATTGGCTTGCGAAAAGCACATGTTCTGCCAAAGAAAAGAACAACTTTAAGTTTAATATATTTTGTCAACACCGGAAACTCCCCTCTACTAATTAGGTACTGTACATGTAGATAGTCACCTGATTGTTTACATCAGGTAAATAGACAAACTATTAGTAATAACACAGAGTTTAGATGTTAATGTAGTTATGACATTACAAAGGCATTTATTAAAATGATATTTATTTAAGGTTTTTACTTTTAGATATTACATGAAAGTTTTAAAATATAATAGCCTTTCAAGACGTCATAATTATTTGGACAAATCATTACCTTGCACTTCATGCAACTGTCACCTTGCATTTCATGCAAATGACAGATGTGTTGTGTAAAATTGGTATAAAACCTTTATATTCAGATAAAAAAATATGTTTTTATTTGAACAAATTTAGACAGGCCTGCAATGTCATGAATGTCAAGTTTTGAATTTCTGTTTTTATGTCCAGTTTAATTATACCCCATGAAACGAAGTTCCATAGGGTATAATGTTTTTGACCCATTCACAGCCCTGTTCTTGTCATCGCAACTCCTTTGAAATAACACAACAGAATTTCATGAAACTTTGTAGGTGACAAGGACATACTATGTAGATATGCATTATTGCATATCGACAGGAAATTATGTTTTTTTTCTTCAAGGAGTTATATATACTACTTTGAACTTAGAATTTTTTCCTTAATATACTATTGCAACAGTTTGTCATCACAACTCCTCTGAATCCACACAACAGAATTTCATGAAACTTTGTAGATAATAAGAACATGCTATGTAGATATGCATATCGACAGAAAATTATGATTTAATTATTTTTCTAGAAGTTATGCCTATTTGAACATAGAATTTTGGCCATAATATACTACTGTAACAGTTGTCATCGCAACTCCTCTGAATCCACGCAACAGAATTTCATGAAACTTTGTAGATAATTAGAACATATATACTATATAGATGTGCATATCCACAAGAAATTTATATCAGTAGACTTTTGTAGCAGTTATGAGTCTTTGAACTCAGGAATCTGGTGATATTTTGTTTGCCCAGTGACAATGTGGGGGCGTGCGGTATGTGAGCGTGCTCATAAAGGTTCTTTAATTTACAATAGTACAGGGGCAAGTTTTCTGATCTGTTGGTCTGCTCCTCCACCTATCTCGTATGAGGATAAAGTTTTGGTTTGAGGTAGTTAGTCATTATATACATCAACCTCATACATGTACATTGTACTTTGTACAAATGTTTGTTACGAAGTGAACTGTTTAATACATGTATATATACATGATACATGCCTAATAAGGGTATTGACCAAGATTTTATGGTTCACTGAACATAGTAATGTGATAATGGGAGCAGTGCATGATGTGACCTTTGGACACATATATTCCATTATCACTGAACTAGTATACATATTTGTTTAGGGGCCAGCTGAAGGACGCCTCCGGGTGCAGGAGTTTCTCGCTGCATTGAAGACCCATTGGTGGCCTTCGGCTGTTGTCTGCTCTATGGTCGGGTCGTTGACACATTCCCCATTCCCATTCTCAATTTTATTCTTTTTAACATGTTGTGGGAAGATATGACATCCGTGATTTTAGAAAACTTGCTTGTTTTCAGATAATGGGTAAAGTAATATCAAAGCTTGCTTTTGTTTATGTGAACGTAAAAGATCTGTCATGACTCATGAACCAGTGCAATTCTTTGTTACTGATTTAAAAAATCTTACATTTTGTACCTCTTGTCAACTTCAGTTACAAAATGATTTGTACACACTTACATGTATCATGCTTATCTATATTCTGTCGATCATGTCAATGGAAAAGTTACAATGATTAAAAAATAATATTTGTTGGATAAAAAAAAAATATTTGTTGGATCATGTTAAAGTTTTGGTCAATTCAACTTGAAAGTTACGAACATGTTCATTATGGAGTGAACTATTTGATAAACCCGGTATACATGTACTCCTAATGAGGTTTTGAAAGATGCTTCACAGTTCAATGAACATGGAAATAAGTTAGTGTGAGCTGGGCATGGTGTCCTATATATGGACACATATGTTTGTTGTCTCATGAATCAAGGCAGCAGTTTGTAACATATCCCTTTTTTTCAGATTCTCATTTTCTGCTTTTTTGTGCTAATGTAGTAAGAAAATATGTGAATAAACACAATAAGGCTAAAAAAACTAGTTACGTAATCCCATGGTAAAGTTTTCTGTTTCAATACTTCAGATTTGGGATGCAGTGGACAATAAAACAGGATTTGTAAATAGAAATGGATTGTACAAAGCTTTGGCACTCACAGCTCTGGCTCAGAATGGGAAAACTATACATGATAAACTTCTGGAAAGCTATGCTGGTCAAGGTCAGTTTGTATACATAAGTTTTATTTCAGGTTCATGTATATATTATGAGGTAAAAAACTATGAACATATGACAGCACTGATTTTATTGCCTTATTTTTTAGTGGAAAGTTGCAGCTGCAGAATCTCAAAATGAGAGATTCTCCTTTCTATTTCCATGATTTAGCCTCATCAACATGATCAAAGCAAACAAAAAAAAGTTTTGGCAGAGTATTATTACAATTATAGACATATATATAATATTTGAATGATAGAATTGGCAGCAACTTTTGATCGTTCAGCTGTAAGATACCTTTATCTATGATTTATTAAGAATTTGGCCAGTATATTGATATTATTTAAGTACATCTGTTATTCCTATATTGACTTCTATATAGAGGATTTTCACTCGGAAAAGTCTGTCAATTATGCATACCTTTATGTAGTCATTTGCAGTTGCTTTTTTCATGACATCACAATAGTAAATTCAGAGGAATGCAAGAAAATTTATATACAGTTACATATACTATTTTATTAGATAAAATGCCTTTTATACATTGTAATTGTTATTCAAATTATGATTTGATAGTCAAACATTTTAATGAATTTAAAGTTCCCTTTTATGAATTATTACGTCTGTTGATTTGTGTTCATTTGGTGTAAATGGCATGATTGAACATTGGACTTTTACTGTAACTAAATAACATACCGGTAAGCATTTTGACATTGGAAACGTACAGAGAAATGCATATGAAAGTGGTCTATAATATTGCATTTTTTTATGTTTTATGTATCAAAATAAGATGACATGAAGAAAAAACATATTTTTTACTTAAAAATCAATTCGTCATTATAATGGTATTTGATATGTCATAGGTCTCTCATTTTAAAAATCTCTTAACAATACATTAAATATTCATATCTTTCATCATGTCTTTAGTATTACATACCAAGTTTGCAATTTAAAAGTGGTGCATTATATGGTTTGAAAAAAAAAATGAATTACTTTCAGTTAAATTATCCATTGGCTTTTATGAAGTAGAAAAATTAAATCAAAAATTATCTAGGTATCTGGATATTAAAGATTTAAAGTCCATTATCAGACAAAATTTTAATAATTCGTATAATTAGTTACATGCATGACATAACATCAAGTGATATATAAATGGTCATGTAATTTTTTTATACGACCGCAAAAATTAAAAAATTTTTGGTTGTATATTGGTATGACGTTGGCGTCGTCGTCGTCCGAAGACACATTGGTTTTCGCACTCTAACTTTAGTTTAAGTGAATGGATCTCCATAAAATTTTACCATAAGGTTCAATTCCACGAAAGGAAGGTTGGGATTGATTTTGGGGGTTATGGTACCAACAGTTAAGGAATTAGGGGCCAAAAAGGGGCCAAAAATAAGCATTTTTGTAACTTCCTGACAATAACTTGTGTGTAAGTGTATGGATCTCTCTGACATTGTACCACAAGGTTCCATATCACAAAGGGAAGGCTGTAATTGATTTTGGGGGTAATTGCCTCAAAATTTTAGGAATTAGAGGCCAAAAAAGGGGCAAAAAACAAGCATTTTTCTAGTTTCATGACAATAACTTGTGTGTAAGTGTTTGGATATTTCTGAAATTGTACTACAAGGTTCCATATCACAAAGGAAAAGCTGGAATTGAGTTTGGGGGTAATTGCCCGAAACGTTTAGGAATTGGGGGCCAAAAAGGGGCCAAAAATAAGCATTTTTCTAGTTTCCAGACAATAACTTGTGTTCAAGTGTATGGATCTCTCTGAAATTGTACTGCAAGGTACCATACCACAAAGGGAAGGCTGGGATTGAGTTTGGGGGTGATGAATCATAAGGGGGTTCAAAAAATTTGGGGGGGGGGGGGGGGGGGTTTTTCTTTTTCTTTTTCCTTTTTTTCCTTTTTTTTTTCTTTTAAAATTTTCCATTTTAAGTTGGTTATTTCTGATTTATATTTAAAAGCAAATAATAATGATATGGTAGGAGATACACACCAAACAGGATGTGTAAATTATTATATAATAAGTATTGTGCAATAGCAAGAAATTTTCAATTGCACAGTATTGCACAATAGCAAGAAATCTTCAATTGCACAGTATTGCGCAATAGCAAGAAATCTTCAATTGCACAGTATTGCGCAATAGCAAGAAATATCCAATAGCACAATATTGCGCAATAGCAAGAAATTGTCAATTGTACAGTATTGCGCAATAGCAAGAAATATTCAATTGCACAGTATTGTGCAAAAGAAGATACTTCGTATAAATTGCTTATTTCTTGATCAATTTCAATGGGGTTTTATTCTTGAATTCTTGGGGTTCTTTAATATGCTGAATCTAACCGTGTATTAAGTTTTTGGATTTTGGGCCCCGTTTTTAAATTGGTCCACATTGAGGTCCAAAGGGTCCAAAATTTAACTTTGTTTGATTTCATCAAAAATTGAATTATTGGGGTTCTTTGATATGCCGAATCTAACCGTGTATTTAGATTCTTAATTTTTGGTTCCGTTTTCAAATTGGTCTACATTAAGGTCCAAAGGGTCCAAAATTAAACTTAGTTTGATTTTAACAAAAATTGAATTTTTAGGGTTCTTTGATATGCTGAATCTAAACATGTATTTAGATTTTTGATTATGGGCCCAGTTTTCAAGTTGGTCCAAATGGGGGTCCAAAATTAAACTTTGTTTGATTTCAACAAAAATTGAATATATGGGGTTCTTTGATATGCTGAATCCAAACATGTATTTAGATTTTTGATTTTTGGGCCCCGTTATCAACTTTGTCCACATTGAGGTCAAAAGGGTCCAAAATTAAACTTTAATGAGATATAACGAGTCCAGAACCAATCCTATATATACCAATACATATTCTTAGTATTAGATTTTATTTCATAATCTATTTTGTTCAATTCAATATTTTATCATAAATATTTGTTGTTTTTTAAGGTGTTTCGGTTAAGGTTTAACTACCAAGGCTTTTCCTCATCAGGTATCCCAAGCCTCTAACTAATAAAATAATCAGTTTCAAAAGGAAAGTTCAAAGCATCCATACGCATAGAATTTAAATATTCTGCATACAGGGATACGACACCTGGTAACTTTGTATTGATGTATTGTACTCTAAATTCAATTCCGCTCTCTCATGTTTAGAAAGATTATTTCTAACTTTGTTTATTTTTAGTCTGCATATTTCCATCTTTGTGGCAAATAGATAATTTTCTATTGTGTTGTTTGTTAAAGAGGGTTTGAATCCCGATTTGATTCTAAAAGGATGATTGGTGTCCGCATTAGATTTTTCACTAAAGTGATATTTGCATCGCATTTTTCTGCCTAGTTCGTCAAAATCTCGTAAGAGATTTTGTTTAATGTATTTTACATCAGGACTGGGAATAAATTTTAATCCCTTTGCAAGAACTAATATTTCATAGTTTCATCAAAAATTGAATTCTTGGGGTTCTTTGATATGCTGAATCTAACCATGTATTTAGATTTTGGATATTTGACCATAATAGGTGAATGTCCAATTTAAAATTTTTAAGTTCTTAGACCACATTCATTTTGTGTCAGAAACCTATGCTGTGTCAAATATTTAATCACAATCCAAATTCAGAGCTGTATCAAGCTTGAATGTTGTGTCCATACTTGCCCCAACTGTTCAGGGTTCAATCTCTGCGGTCGTATCAAGCTGCGCCCTGCGGAGCATTTTATTATTTTCTACAAGAGTTTACTTGACATATTTCTTGTGATTCTAAAAACATAATTTGATGCAGTCACATTACATAATTAGTCAAATAAAATGGTGGAAAATCATAGAATAGCCTTGGCCTGTTTCTTTATATCATAATATGTTACACCAACTTCATACCAGGAAATATTTCAGTCTTCATTCATGGTATTTACAGATGATCTGATGAAGATCTAATCATGCATAACTTTTAAAAAAATAAAATAAAATTAATGCAGGTGAATAGATATTAATGATAGATGAAAGCCATTCACTGAAAAGATAATTTAATTTGGTAGGTTCCAAATGAAGCATAAGCTGTATTAGTTTATGACTTATTCAGTTTTAGTACAAGTGGTACATATGAATTCCTACTTGAGCTACTTGTATCTATGTAGTTGGATGCTGTAAATTTTTTAAGTTGACACAAGTGGTACTTTATCATTAGTACAAAAGTAGTCTGTACATGTAGTTGTCTCTAGCGTCTAGAGGGTGGTGTGACCAAAACATGTCATGATATGACCGATATTTACAAGTTTAAAAAAAAATTAAAATAGAAAACTTTTAATCAGCAATTGGCCTAAAAAAAGATTTAAAACAAAAACGTGCCCTGCAAGCTTTGTCATTGTTTGTGTGTGTTGAGTATTTGTGAAAGTGTCAGATATTTGGTTATCTCTGATGAATTTATTTACAAGAAGTCATGACTTCAGCCTTGGAATGGATATAAGCTTGTTTTGTGGGTTTTTATACGACCGCAAAAAAATTTTTGTGGTCGTATATTGGTATGACGTTGGCGTCGTCGTCGTCGTCGTCGTCGTCGTCCGGTGTCGTCGTCCGAATACGCATTAGTTTTCGCACTCTAACTTTAGTTTAAGTGAATGGATCTCTATAAAATTTTACCATAAGGTTCAATACAACAAAAGGAAGGTGGGGATTGATTTTGGGGGTTATGGTACCAACAGTTAAGGAATTAGGGGCCAAAAAGGGGCCAAAAATAAGCATTTTCTAGTTTCCAGACAATAACTGTGGAACGGTGTATGGATCTCTCTGAAATTGTACTACAAGTTTCCATACCACAAAGGGATGGTTAGGATTTGCTTTGGGGGGTTATGGCTCAAACCGTTTAAGAATTAGGGGCAAAAAAGGGGGAAAAACAAGGTTGTCCTGGTTAATGGACAAATACTTTAGTACAAAACATAATTTAAAGCAGTGTAAGGGAGATAAATCAAATACATCATTGAAATTATCTCCCTTACACTGCTTTTAAATTATGTATAAAGTAATGGTTAATGAACAATTAAGATAATTTAAAACAGTGTAAGGGAGGTAATCCAAATACAACGTTTTGGTTACTTCCCTTACACTGCTTTTAAATTATGTTTAAAGAAATGCATATTTATAAAGGAAGACCAGTAAAAATATCTGCAAATGTTGCATCTTTTTTTTTTACAAAAAAATCCATATGAAAGATTTGACACTATATTTTAAATTCTATTATAAAATAGATTAAGTTAGCACTATGGTAAATTTAAATGGGTAATTATGGTTTGGGGGGAAAAAAGGGGGGGGGGGGGTAAAAAAAAATTGTGGGGGGTCAATTTTTTCTCATTTCAGATTTCAGAAATTAAAAAGAATTATTCTTCAAATATTATTTTTTTTTCAAATTTCAAATATTGAAAAATTTCAAGAAGTAATCTTTAATTGCACAGTATGGCGCATTAGATTTGTAAAATCTTTGACCACATTTATTTATTTGTTATGCCGAATCTAACTGTGTATTTAGATTTTTAATTTTGGATCCAGTTTTCAAATTGGTCTACATTAAGGTCCAAAGGGTCCAAAATTAAACTTTGTTTGATTTTAACAAAAATTGAATATATGGGGTTCTTTGATATGCTGAATCTAAACATGTATTTAGATTTTTGATTTTTGGCCCAGTTTTCAAGTTGGTCCAAATTGGGGTCCAAAATTAAACTTTGTTTGATTTCAACAAAAATTGAATATATGGGGTTCTTTGATATGCTGAATCTAACCATGTATTTAGATTTTTTATTTGTGGACCCCGTTATCAAATTGGTTCATATTGAGGTCAAAAGGGTCCAAAATTAAACTTTGTTTGATTTCATCAAAAATTTAATTATTGGGGTTCTTTGATATGCCAAATCTAACCGTGTATTTAGATTTTTAATTTTGGGTCCCGTTTTTTAAATTGGTCTACATTAAGGTCCAAAGGGTCCAAAATTAAACTTAGTTTGATTTTAACAAAAATTGAATTTTTGGGGTTCTTTGATATGCTGAATCTTAACATGTGTTTAGATTTTTGATTATGGGCCCAGTTTTCAAGTTGGTCCAAGTTGGGGTCCAAAATTAAACTTTGTTTGATTTCAACAAAAATTGAATATATGGGGTTCTTTGATATGCTGAATCTAAACATGTTTTTAGATTTTTGGCCCAGTTTTCAAGTTGGTCCAAATTGGGGTCCAAAATTAAACTTTGTTTGATTTCAACAAAAATTGAATATATGGGGTTCTTTGATATGCTGAATCTTACCATGTATTTAGATTTTTTATTTGTGGGCCCGCTATCAAATTGGTTCATATTGAGGTCAAAAGGGTCCAAAATTAAACTTTGTTTGATTTCATCAAAAATTGAATTATTGGGGTTCTTTGATATGCCAAATCTAACCGTGTTTTTAGATTTTTAATTTTGGGTCCCGTTTTTTAAATTGTCTACATTAAGGTCCAAAGGGTCCAAAATTAAACTTAGTTTGATTTTAACAAAAATTGAATTCTTGGGGTACTTTGATATGCTGAATCTAAACATGTGTTTAGATTTTTGATTATGGGACCAGTTTTCAAGTTTGTCCAAGTTGGGGTCCAAAATTAAACTTTGTTTGATTTCAACAAAAATTGAATATATGGGGTTCTTTGATATGCTGAATCTAACCATGTATTTTGATTTTAAACATTGGACCATAATAGGTAAATTAAAAAAAATTGAAGTTCTTAGACCACATTCTTTCTGTGTCAGAAACCTATGCTGTGTCAAATATTTAATCACAATCCAAATTCAGTGCTGTATCAAGCTTGAATGTTGTGTCCATACTTGCCCCAACTGTTCAGGGTTCGACCTCTGCGGTCGTATCAAGCTGCGCCCAGCGAAGCATTTTATTGTCAATTGTTAAAGGCTGTTATAATACATAGTGTCATCTTGATGTTTTTTTTTGGATAACATGTACATTTGTTGTTAGTTTACTGAATCATTGAAGTTTATCCCATATCATATATAATCTAATTATATTCATATTTTTGAATTCCTTGTTGTTCAGTTGTCTGTTCTAAAAATGGTTCTTTCAAATGAAAAGGAAACTTAAGTTGAGTAATAATATCAGATCTGACCATAACATTTTTCTTAAGTTTTCTTGGCCAAAATATTCAGCTTGTACTTCACTAAGATATGCCAATAAATGAAAGGATGGATGGATCAGCACTGTCATTGGTTATTCTGACTCAGAGTTGACCAGTCTTTGCTCCTACTCCTATATGCAGTGTGCTTAGAAGGGAAGCAGCAAATACTTTTCAAGTCGATGATTTGACTAGTCTTGGGATTGAACCCGCAAACCTCCCTCAAGCAAGATGAGCACAATGCCATGACGTTATGAAAGTGACTGAATCAGATCATAAAAATTCCAATTACACGAACAGTAAATTCAGAAATTAATGCACGCATATTTATTTCAAATCCTCGACCTTTGGAATAAATGTAAAATTTACCAGGTAATTATATTTTTGTGATTGTGTAAAAATTTTATGAAGGAAACTACTGAAAATACGAATGCCAGTTTTATAACTGGGAACCAGATACTGTTGCATTTTTTTAATAATAAAAACTTTGCAACAATTTCTGATTTAACAATAAACCAAATTGGAAATAAATTTCAGATAGTCAGCTACTTGAAAGGTTTGTTATTTAACAGTTGCATAATTTATGTAAAATTATCCTGTATTAATTTTCCTTTCAGAGTTACCAAAGCCATCCTTGGGTGATTTAGGCGACTTGAGATCAACTAGTGTTAAACTACGAAGAGAAAAAAATCCTAACATTTTAGGTTACAACTATCGAGAATTGTGTGATTTAGATGCTATCAAAGTAGAATTAATGCCTGAAAAGAAAGGAATCATTTTAAAACATGTAGAATATGAAGTTACTAGTCGGGTAAATCATACTTATTAGATAATTAGATTAGCAAGACAATGGCAAATAACGAAAATAATTTGATTAAAAAAAATTGAAGGGTATACATTGGATGTAAATTTAATGGAGGGAGCAACCCAACAGTACAAGTAAGAACATAAACACATGTGTACTCTCAAAGTACCACATTATGCACAAAAGTGGTTAATTTTGATTTTTTTAGCATTAAAACAGAAAAATTCAATCTTCTTGCATTATTTTCTGACTTGGAAAAATTTGGAAATAAACTAAAGATTTGAGTATTGCAATTTTGAAAAAAGAAAATAACAATATACTAATCTGGTCCTTTTTTCAGAAGTTTGATTGAATTGATTAATTTTGTTTTCTGACTGAAACTGACAATTTCATTTGTAAATGAAAGACATTTCAATCAAAAAAGCATGACAAAAGTGAGTGCCATTGTAAATAAGTACCTGAAAAAAAAATGGGTTTCTGTTTACTGATTTTGATGAATTTCTTGGATAGTTAGCAGCAATCAATGATTTGATATTTTTCAGAACTACAAAACTACCGTCCTACGTCGCTACAATGACTTCTTTGCATTCCAAGAAATGTTAATGTTGAGATTTCCATATAGATTAGTACCTAGACTACCTCCAAAGAAAATGATGGGCGGTAAGTCAAAATATATCTCTTCATTGTAAAATACAATCGAAATATATATATAAATATACAGTTCATGTATGAAGTTTTCAGACTTTTTTTAAGAGAGTATAGTGTTTTCAGGTGATGGATGTCAATTTATGGCTAAAACAACTTCTTACTAAAAGGTACATACAAAGGCAGATATGAGGTAGTCTTTTTAATGACAGGGTTTCTAACTATTTTGATCTGAGCATCACTGATGAGTCTTATGTAGACGAAACGCTCGTCTGGCATATCAAATCATAAGGCTGTTACCTTTGATAACTATTAGGTTAGGGCCTCATTTGTCTTAAACTATTAACTGAAATTTGAACTTTTAAATTTAGATCTCAATATTAACATGTACCATGTGTACTGGACACAAAAAAGGTTAATAATAATTTATTAACTATTTTCACCATTACCAGTATGTGTCAAAACTATGCATTTTTGTCATTTAAAGAAAAATTAATTTACCAGTATACCATCATATGTCCTTATACTTCAAATGTTGATGAATATTCAAAATATATGAATAGACCTTATACATATACTGTAGTAAAGAAAATTCTACATGTACCTATTAATTAGTTTCAAGCAAAATGATATGTGATAAATCAGTTTTCTAGGCTAAGACCCTTACCACACTTTTTTTGTTTCGCAGTTTTTCTAGATTGTTAACAATCTTAAGGAGCTTGACATATATACTACATAGACACTTGTCTGTACATGAACCATACATGTATAGATCAATCAATACAGCAGTTATAATTTGATGGAGTTTATAATACTACAGTATTAGTCTTATAAATGATGTACTTATTGAATAAATGACAAGATGCTGGATGTCCCTATATATATAGCTTAAGTCTTGCAAATGATTCACTTAGGCATGATATAAAAGGCATACATCATTCAAGATTTTTTTATATTTAAGGAAGGAGCATGCAACACCATTTATTAAACTGAGAAATGATAATTACTTCACTATGTTCTGTTCTTTTGTATCATTGTTGTATTCTTAGTAAAATTTATACAATGATTTGTCAAATTACAATAAGTTGTAATTTTTTGTAAATTTCCAGAGGAAAAATGATGAAGCTCTCTCTCTGATAGCATGAATAGTTTTGAGAACTATGTTTTTTCAGGTTTATTTTTTTAAATCTTAAATAAAAAGGTAATCATACATTCAGTGATTGATTTCAGACATCTCACACATGAGATTAATGGAAAACATGCATTTTATTGTTATTATAAGTTCATTATTTATTCCATGTATTCTGAACTCTGAAATTTATGAAAATTGTTACCACATAAAGAATAGAACATAAATTATAATTTGAAACATAAAGTTTCTATGTTTTTATTTACTAGAATAACATTTAAAACATTCTTTCTGCACTAGATGTGCATTTTCAACAATTAATGTCATGAATGTCTCTTAAGTGATGCACAAGCATGACAAGGCCAAAATATTTGAAAAATAAAAAACAAAACAAAAAGCTTGTAAACGAAACAGTACAAAAAGTATAGCCAAAGCTAAGAATCAGAGCTTTGTATGAGGGAGATATATTCCTTAATTTAGAATAATTTCCAAAATTTTTAAACAGCAAATTGTAATAACACAATATCCTTATAGTGAATAGTCTAATATTATATGCATGAAAGTTAGTAATAAAAATTTTGTCATCAGAAATGAAAAATATAAGACAGGTTGTGTTTAAATCATGTAAAATATTGGGATTAAACAATATTTGATAAAAAAATTCTCTTACTGATGCATTTAATCATGTTAATAGTATTGAATTTATGAAAATTGGATGAGAAGTAGTGTCACATATGGTAGGTTTGAAAGTTTATTGTTTTTAAATTATTATACGTCTGACTTTTGAACATATATATTTAGAGTCTTATTTTTTACTAAATTTAAGTTAAAAATTTTATGAATTCAATTTGATGGAAATTTATGTCACAATTTTTTACTGCAAGACTTTAAAAAATTTGTTCAATCTAATATCTCAACATTCTTAAACTACATCAAATTTGAGTAAAGGTTCCTGATCTCCTATTTGACCTGATTAGAAGACATGATCCTTTTCTTAATGTAGGTTATCAGTTATAATGTGATAATTATTTCCATTTTTGGGTATATACACTACACAATGGTTATTGTATGCAAGTTTTGACAAGCTTTATCTGAATTTTACCATGGTCCTCTTTTGCTCCTCAAAATATCTGTCTAATTAAATGTTCTTTTTGAAATGGGTCATATTTTTAAAACTGATTTAAGCACTTTGTATCATCCTGCTTAGTGAAGTTAGCAGTTAAATTGATTGGGGTTGTAAATTTCTGATCGCTGCTCAAAATGTTTCTATATAAAAATAAGGAGATGTGGTATGATTGCAAATTATCCACCAGAGTTCAAACGACGAAGATAATAGCAATTATAGGTTACGGTAGGGCCTTCAACAATGAGAAAAACCAATACTGTATAGTTAGCTAATTTTCCTAGTGTATAACTTTTAAAAAGCTATAATTTAAACCCCATCAAAAGCTTTATCTACTGTTATTTATATCATTAATGTATTAAAGTTGTTTTATTAAAAAGAAATATCTTGTTTTGAGTTTCATTAATTATTTTACCATTTCTTAAAATTGTAGCAAATAGAGAATTTATAGAACAGAGACGAAAGTCACTACGAAGATTCTGTAACTTAGTGGCAAGACATCCGAAAATGTATGATGACAAACTAGTTAAATTCTTCTTGACTTTTAGTGGTTCGGTAAGTTATTTAAAAAAAATGTGATTAGAGAAAAACATTATGAGATAAAATTAATATATAATTGTTTTAAAAATGTACAAAAATGATGATAGTGTATGCCAATTTCTTTAGTACAAGTGACAGGAACACATTGCTTTCTTAAGTGTCAAAAAAATATGTTAATGGTATTTAATGTATAATCTAAAAATAAGGAGATGTGGTATGATTGCAAGGAGACAACTATCAATAAAGTTGTGTAGTAGTTTTTTTGCATTATTTGTAAAAAAATTTCAGAGGTATTTTTTTTTCATTTTTAATTATTATATCATAGTTTGTATTAAATAGCAGAAGGCAGTTATTTTGCCTTTTTCTTAACAATTTTTTTTTTTAAATCTCGAACAATATTAATAAAAAAAAGCTCTGAATCATAACCCTTTGCAAGATTATTATTTTCTAGTACAAATGTATTGCTAAGTTTATGTAGAAGATAATTAAGATACCAGTGTACACTGCTACTTTTTCATAGGTACTATTTCTGTACTAAAAATCTGTAGTACTGGAAATTTACTTTAATATTTTGTACTATTTCTTTACTTTAAAATTATTGTAATATTTAGGTACCTGTATTTTACAGTACTTGATTTGTACTAAAAAAGTTGGTACAGAAATAATACCAACAGTGATCGCAATATTCCATGTTTGAAAATTATAACTTTAAGAGATTTGAATAGACAAACTTTCAAAGTGCTGAAAATGTAACGGTGTAACCAAAAATCTGTAGTTATTAAATTTCAAGTATAAATCAAGTACTGTAAAATACAGGTACCTAAATATTACAATAATTTTAAAGTAACAAAATAGTACTGAATATTAAAAGTTGATTTCCAGTACTACAGATTTTTGGTACAGAAATAGTACCTATGAAAAAGTAGCTGTGTATAATTATGTAATCTCATTTAAAAAATACAGATCCTGTGTCCTAGCTTCGCTTACAAAGATCTATAACAACGCTCCATTCTACTTTCTGTTCTGGTAATTATTACATAAGCCAATGTAATATCAGCCTTTAACTTTTTGAAGGTGTGTATCATTATAATAAAACCAGAGGACCCTGACAGTTCTTTTAATCAGAAAGTAAAATGGAGTGTTGTCAGATCCTTGAAAGCAAAGCTTTATCAATTTTAATCATATTGCAGTATATATTTATGGTTTTTGATTGTCCCTTGACCATTCCTCCCCTTTCTATGTATTAGACTTAGGCAGACAATGTGATCACAAACTTATGTAAAGAATTGATAAAAGAATTAACCAGAAATTTTATTTATTCTTTTTGTGTTGGATTGCTGTATGATTGAATTTATCCAACATCTCCTTTGACTTTAGTTTTAACTTTCACTTGGTAAAAATGTTTGTTTTGTAGGATATGACGAACAAAATAAAGGAGGTATTCCGAGGAATCCCAGATGAGTTTATGACAAGTAATTTGGCCAGTAAAGCAAAGGTACATGTTTGTCTTTTTTCTTTTTTGAATGAGAAAAAAATATGCTGATTATTTCTGATGGATTTGATGTCAAACATCTATCTTATCAGACAGATAATTGTTTATGAATATTTCTATCTAAACTTTTCATGAAATAATCGTTTACTTTTGAAACTTTATTTACCATATGTAATAGAAGATGTTTCTGCCATTGAAATAAGTGTTTTACAGAATCTTCATTGATCAAAAAGTGACAAGTGCCTCTTTTATTAGTCATGTGTTTTTAAAAAAAAGTGCCCAAATTATGAAATGCTTATATTGAATAAAGATAAAAGGTTTAGTATGAATTTTGATTTAAAATTCAAAAGAGTCCTGGGATTTCAAGAAATGTTGACAGTATAGACATATCAGATTTGATGTATTGAAACAAGAAAAAAAGGTCAAAGTTCTAAACCACTTCACAAATGTATTATTATATATAAAGTGTTTCTTTGTCCCTACAACTTTTCCTTGAAATAGTCCTGGTAACATGTACACATGTTTATACTCATAAATTTAGGACTTCTAGTGAACAGTCTGAAGTATTGTATTGATATTGTCAATGAGATGAAAAGAGGTAGATATGTTTGTATACAGTTAGAAAACTTAGATTGATAGAGAGCATTTTGTCAAGAGATTATGTCAGTTGAATAAAGAAAGCTGCTTTAACACTAAACTATGATTTTTTTTTTAAAAGTGATGATATTATTTTTAGGAGTTAGTTCCCATGGACACCCAACAACAGATACAGAATAGTAAAGAACATATGAGAATGTTATACAATGGTGTGAGTAAGATGAAGGAAATATCTGAGAAGTTGGTAATGAGGGCCACTGGATATGCCTGTGATATGTTACAGTTTGGTCAGGAATTAAGGTAGAATTATATGTTACATATCACTCTGCTGTGGTATTTGATATGGAACTTAATTAATTTGATTAATTGTACTGTGTAAGCTATTTCAGATCGTGGCAGTCATTTCTTGAGTTTGAATGTTCATAATACCTAATAAAGAGTATTGATTCTATGTCACTTATTTCTCAGCTTCTTAACTGAGGAATGATATGGTATTTGAATTTGAACTTGTTGATAATAAGTTGTACTGTGTAAGGCATAGTCATATCTGCAAGGCAGTCTTTTCTTGTTTTTGCAATTAATTAAATATTTTATACCTCTGAGCATGACATCTTTCATCAATGTCTAATAATGAATTGGGTTATACTTTACATGACATCACATACAACTCCTCCTGATGTTGAAATTGGTTGATAAATAGAAAACTGTATGTTTCAACTATACATCTATTTCAGTTCATTTAGTAATGATGCAACTAGTGTCTCTGCCTGGGCAACAGGTCGAAGTGAAACATGGCATCACCTCAAGAAAGGCTTTAAACATCTGTCTGTGGAGTATGCAGCGTTAGGGGACAAAGCTGCACAAGAGGTTAGTTCTACTAAAAAATTACCAGTTATATTTTTTTTCAATTCTAGGAACAGTTTCCTTTAATTAGTAGTTTGAATAATAAATTTGTCATTCCAAAATTCGGTTCTTATTGTGACATAATAACATATTAAGCATTACGATATATGAATTGTAAAAGAAAATGCTCAAATTTGAAAGATGTTTTTAAGAATGTTAGGTATCCTAACCATTTTCAATTTGAACATCATATCACTATAATTTAAAAAAAAATCAATTGATAAAAATGCAAAGTATATTTACTTCTTCGCACAGTTAATTAATTTACTTTGTTTTTTTTCCCATTGAAAACAGGCAGGAGATACAGATAGTGAAGTCGTAGAGAAATTATGTTTATTTCAAGATTTACTGCTAGCCTATAAAGTGAGTTATGTTAATTAACTGTAAACCAACTTATTTTCAAAGATACTTTTATTCACGTTTAGACCTTTTTTGTTGCTTTGCGAGGATTCATTTTTGTGATTTCCTAACTTTTTTTATGATTTCTTATCAGAGAAGATCCTTTTTTGTAAATTTACTAGAGTTATCTTTCTTACCTCAGAACGTGATTTAGCTTGTACAACAGCTATTTCTCCAAGTACATCATATAATATTTCTAAATTTGCATGAATTAGTTGCGTTTCCATTTGCCGATTTATATTAACGCTATTTTTCTTCTCTGGAAAGTCAAGAAAATAAGTTGGTTTATAGTAAAATTGAGAATGGAAATAGGGAATGTGTCAAAGAGACAACAACCTGACCAAAGAGCAGAAAACAGCCGAAAGGCCATCAATTATAGTGTTTTGAATCTTATTGAGATATTATCAGCACTTATAAATTTTGCAAGCTAGTTTTCAAATCAGGGATCTCAATTCCCTGGAATTTATAATCATAAAACCAAATCACAGATCAAAAATTATAGAATCTGTAATACCGGAAAATTGTGTTGTTATAGGTTATATATAATGATTATAAATTCCAGGGAATTGAGACTGTATCGAATGCCCTTAATTCAATGCAAAGATAATATAATATATATAAGAGATTAAAATTCACTAAATCTTTGCATTGAATTAAGGGCATCTGATACAGTTTCATGGGAGTTAACTCATGGCGCGATGTTAAGCGATCGAATTCCTGCAAAACGTCACTTTTGGCAGGACGTCATGCGTGTAATTTTTCGTAATAAAAAAACCAATTTGAATATATTTCAAAGTATAAACTATGCCCCAATTTATGTTTCTCACACACATATAACTTCTACACTCTTTAGATAAGTGCATTTGACTCGAACAATTTGAGGATATAAACACAGAATAAAGTCTAATGAAATCATAAGAAATTAAAAACATATTATTGTTTCTGCTATTCCTCATCTTATATCTTCTGTGAGGGCTGTAACAATGTAGTTAACAAAATGTAGTATAGAAGAGTGACCCTGTTGATGTTAACATATAATGCATGCCAATTATCATTTTTATTATCATTCATCCCTAATAAAAATTTTGATTTGGATCCGATTTTCTGACAGCACACAAAAAAAATAGCTTTACGGCGCATTTTAGTGATAAGCAACGTCAATATCAATTTGTGTCAATGATCTTTAAAACTCATATCGCAAGTTCAGATAGCACAAAAATCCAGTTTTAATCATTGTAATCCCTTGTATAAAAAACATCAACACTTCAAAAGAAGTGAATTTCCTCATGGAAAATTATATAATTTATGTCAAATATGAGAGGACATGGTGAGAATGGTATGCCGCCATTTTTAACGATGATACAACTTTAAAAAAAATATGTAGTTATTTTCTAACAAAGTTATGCTATGAGGAAAGTATTCTGATTTTAATCGAAACTTTTACAACAACAAAAAAACCCATGAAACTGTGCAAAAATCATTAGCTATACTTTGAGGTTTCTACAACATTATGTGGTATTTCTGAACATTTACTAACCAGATTATCAATGCTTTGAGTGACTTGCTTTAAAACTGTAATTTCGGATGGTATATATGTTCAAATTTGGGAGAGGAATAAAAAAGACATAAAAACCAAAACCAAAGGGATGAATAGGTAACATGTCCTGTCTTCCAGATATAAATTCTATCATTTTCGCTAGATCAAAAGTTATGAAAAATTTCAAAATCATCGTTAAGTTTTCTTCAACTGTAATCATTCACCCGAATAACAGTTTGATTTTATAAATAAATGTGAAATTCTTAAAGAAGATAAGAATGTGAATAAAAGGATGTTTTGGGGGTATGTCAATGAAACAGCAGCCCACCAACCAAGCAAAAAAATATGTAGAGGTCAACATATGGTCTTAAACAATACACAAGTGTGTACAGTACCGGTATGTCTAGCTCTTAATGGCCGCAAGTCTTTAAATAAAGCCATAAAAAAAATCAACAGTCCACAATAACTATACCTAAGGTGTTTCTCAGTTGGATCATGAACAGAATAAAAAAGAGAGCAGTATTTATGATACATATATTCTTATTTCCCAAAACAATATTTTTATTTTAAGTAGCTCTTTATAAGCAATGTATATGGGTCATTATCAAAAAACATGCAAATTTCAATGAAGTAATATTTGGAAAAACGATGTCATTGTTTAAAACATTTAAATGTGTCCCTCTATTATATAGTATGGTAACAACTATTTTCAGAAATATGCAATGGGAAAAATGAAGGGTTCCTTCAATTTTAACAATTTTAGGTCATCCTTTGATAGAACTGTGTCAATGGTGTTACCAATTTAAAACATGCATTTAGGTACTAAATATTATTTTTAAACATCAAACAACTGTTCCAATTTGTTGTTAAGGTTTAAATTACTACTTATTGACATTATTCCTCTAGCTATACATTCTTTTTAAACATAAATTTTAGAATACATTGTCGTAAAAAAGTTGGCTGTCCAAATTATGGCTGTTGTAAATACTAAAAAATACACTTAAATTGAATATATGTATAATGTATAAGATGAAATGATAAGAATATGCTTAATCCTTCGTATACAACCTAAAAACGCTTTCATTTATGAATAAAAATTAAAAAGTATCGCATTTTTATATAGTAACATCACTGACTCTTCAGTAACTCCAATGACACAAAAGTATCACCATTGACAATACATTTCAAATTTTACTTTTATTAAGTACTAAACACAAAACAGAGAACACTGAGCAAAAGAAAAAGAAGAAAAAATAATTCTTAGGCTTAAAATTCTCAAATTATATAACATAATATCAATAACTAAAAATGTCAGTAGTGTTACTAAATAGTGTCATTGGTGTTACCAGCATACACCAGTTTTTGAAAATTTTGTATATGTAATACATGATATTGTTAAAACATTGTTAAATAAGTATTGTTTGTTATAAATAATATGATGTTTTGCTCGTTAAACATGAAAGAAACACCAAAAAATGCTGATTGTCATAATATATTCAGTGGTGTTACTAAGCTGGTCAATGGTGTTATTTTATTAAAATGGTCTCACCATTGACAGTAACACCATTGATTTTCAGGTGTATTTTAAGGTTTAGTTACAAAATAAGGGCTCCATTCCCCTATTTTGTATGGTGTTCCTGGTGCATGTTTCTACAATCAATACATTTCAAAATTCAAAGTTCAGGAATTTAAAAAAAAAAAATTTTTATAAGGGTACACCATGGACACTATTTTCAATTACGATATAGCTTGTACTTACTTTTAATATTTTTTTACTAAATTTTCAACATAAATGTTTGTTTTCTTTTGCATAACATGCTTACAAGTAACATTGCTAAGGGAGAAACTATTGTAAATGCTGAAATATTGAGAAAGCTAACTCTTACCCTACCAATTTGTCTTTTGGTTACACCATTGACTTAAAAAATGAGACTTTTCCTTTTGGTTAAATTTTTTATTATAAAACCAACATACACCTTCCAAATCATTAAAAAAATGTTTTTATGTATCAAATGCAATAAAAAGTGATAATTTCTAATAACAAATGATATGAATAATAGTCCTATTTCAGGTCTGAAGGGATTTATAGTTAAAAATAACAGTTGATTCTGGCTATATCCGAGGGTTTGAGAAAAAATTAAGAATGTTTTTATAACATTTCATACTGTAAACTGTGTATAGTGTATCACAAAACATTCATATCTTTCATATGTAATAGTTATTTTGATTCATTTTGATATAGTTTCATGTCTTTTGACTTGAAAAGACCAAATAACATAGTTTTGCATGTTTTTTTGATAATGACCCATATACACCTGAAAAATGTCGCCGATAACCTTGCGGAGATAATTGGCGGGAGAGGTCGAAATTGTCAGCCAGTGATGTCATGCATTTTCGCGCTAACATTGAGGTTACCAGGGGGGACGCAATTTTCAGGATAGATTGCGATTTATCTTCGAATCCAGCATGGTGACACATATTTTTTATTTGCTATTTTGAGTAAGCATGACAAAAGACAGAAAGTGTAGAAAAAGGCAATATAAGAACCTCTTGATTTCTACATTTTCAGGTAAATAAATATCCCACTTTGAGCATCTTATCGAATAATTAGCTATTCATTCTTGTAGGGATTTATTTTTTTCTCTTATTTTCACTTACCACAGCATCAGATTGAATCCAATCTCATCAATTTATGACGAAGAATATCTACTCCAAAATTTTTATAACTTTGCTGAATTGTTTTACTAAAGTGCAAAAATCCCCAACTTTCAGCCTCAATTTTCTCGAAAACAAGCACAGTGACCTATGTTTTATTTGATGATTTTTTTTCATAACTCGCCCAGGCCTACAACATATTTCAAAATTATAAAAATGACAATATAATGTGAAACTGTATTGGATCCCCTTAAAACTTAGATTTTCAATTCTAGAATATATTTTCACTGAACTAGTGCACATTTTTGTTTAGGGGCCAGCTGAAGCCCGCCTCTGGGTGCAGGATTTTCTTGCTGTGTTGAAGACCCATTGGTGGCCTTGGGCTGTTTTGTGCTCTTTTGTCAGGTTGTTGTCTCTTTGACACATTCCCCATTTCCATTCACAATTTTATTTCCTGACTTCAAATTATTAAGAAATTGTACTTTGCAATCAGGAGTCAAGTTAGAGATAATATATTTTTGAACTGATCATAAAATCAACTTGTAGGTGCATTATTTCAGGATTCCTAAATCAACTTGTAGGTGCATTATTTCAGGATTCCTAAATCAACTTGTAGGTGCATTATTTCAGGATTCTTAAATCAACTTGTAGGTGCATTATTTCAGGATTCCTAAATCAACTTGTAGGTGCATTATTTCAGGATTCCTAAATCAACTTGTATGTGCATTATTTCAGGATTCCTAAATCAACTTGTATGTGCATTATTTCAGGATTCCTAAATCAACTTGTATGTGCATTATTTCAGGATTCCTAAATCAACTTGTAGGTGCATTATTTCAGGATTCCTAAATCAACTTGTAGGTGCATTATTTCAGGATTCCTAAATCAACTTATAGGTGCATTATTTCAGGATTCCTAAATCAACTTGTAGGTGCATTATTTCAGGATTCCTAATCCTTTACAGATTACATTGTTTAAAAAAAAATATTTTGGTAGATTCTTTATAGACTTTTGTTATTAGAGAATATACTTTGGGAATAAACATATATATATGTAAGCAAAGAATTGTGTAGTATATTTAAGCCTAATCTTTATTTCAGGATCTAAATGACAGACATGAAAAGGGAGTTTTAAATGACCACCAAAGAGCAATTGCAAAAATGGGAAGTTATAAAAAGAAAAGAATGTCAGCAACTGTGAACACAGCCCCAGAGGTAGGTCAAGTTAGGCAACTTTCTTGAAAAAAATTGAGGATACCAAAATAATGCCAAAAATATTTGCCTTTGGATGCAAAGCACTCAATCAATTTTTTCAGTTTTATAAGAATGACATAAAAATTAAATGTGCATTATTTAATTGTATATATGCTCTAACATTGTTAGGTTAATTTTCTAGGCACTTTATAAATATTCTAAAGCCTGGCATTTCTTAATCATAAGAAATCCGATGGACAAGGTATAATTTACAGTTGTCAGACATTTAATTGTATATATATATATAAATAGATTTTCAAAGTAATTCAGTTTATTATAGTTTTGTTGTTACACCAGAAAATGATAACTTAGATTTATACAAATGTATGAGATCATTATAGCATGTTGTTAATAGTAATTTAATACATTGTGTAATATTGGATTTTTATCTCATTACAGGCAGGGACAGTAGAGCAATTAGAACAGAAAATTTTAGAAGTAAGTGTCAGAAAACAAAAGAAAGGAAAAGTTTCTTTTCCATTTGCCAAAACATTTTTGTCACAAATCACATTCCTTTCAAAAGCGTTGCCCATCTTACAGTAGCATGCTTTCAGATTGTGTGGGGTATTTAAGATTTAATCCACAGCAAACTTTTAAAAGTAAAATAACAAAAATACAGAACTCCAAGGAAAATTCAAAAAGGAAAGTCTCTTATCAAGTGGCAAAATCAAAAGCTCAAACACATCAAACGAATGGAAAACAACTGTCCTGACTTACAGGCATTTCCTTATATAGAAAATGGTGGATTAAACCTGGCTTTATAGCTAGCTAAACCTCTCACATTTTGCATTTGCTGTTTCTCCACTAATCACATTAGATTGAAGAGTAAGAGCAAAAAATAACGGAAGAATGTGTTTTGGTTGGGTGAAATGTCTTCCTGCAGATTGTTATCTTGTGAGCTACTAAGTAAAACATCTAACTCTTAAATAAAGTAGATTTTTTTGTAAACCTTCACTCCAAAGGAGGGAGAGTATACTGTTTCACCCTTTTCTGTCAGTTTGTCCGTCTGTCCCAAAAAAAAATCTTTCATATTTTTCTCAGAAACAACAAATCAGGAGCTGGTTTCACTAAAAACTTATGACTAAGATTGATCGTAATTATACTGAATTGTTCATGACTTACAATGAATCTAAGTCGTAAGTTTTTTTGTGAAACTGACTCCAGAGCTTCGTAAAATTTCGAATGTATGGTGTGTTTTCAGATTCCTATTTCCTCAACTTCCTGTTTACCAAATATTTATATTTTCTAATACAAAATGGCCATGATGAATTAAATTTTAGTCACATTTTCTATTGAACTACCAATAAACATTTTCTATGGAACTACAAATAAACATTTTCAATGGAACAACAAATAAACATTTTCTATGGAACTACAAATAAACATTTTCTATTGAACTACAAATAAACATTTTCAATGGAACAACAAATAAATATTTTCTTTGGACCTACAAATAAACATTTTCTATGGACCTACAAATAAACATTTTCTATGGACCTACAAATAAACATTTTCTTTGGACCTACAAATAAACATTTTCTTTGGACCTACAAATAAACATTTTCTATGGACCTACAAATAAACATTTTCTATGGAACTACAAATAAACATTTTCTATGGAACTACAAATAAACATTTTCTATGGACATACAAATAGACATTTTCTATGGAACTACAAATAAACATTTTCTATGGAACAACAAATAAACATTTTCTATGGACATACAAATAGACATTTTCTATGAACCTACAAATAAACATTTTCTATGGAACTACAAATAAACATTTTCAATGGAACAACAAATAAATATTTTCTATGGACCTACAAATAAACATTTTCTATGGAACTACAAATAAACATTTTCTATGGAACTACAAAATGGAACAACAAATAAACATTTTCTATGGACCTACAAATAAACATTTTCTTTGGACCTACAAATAAACATTTTCTATGGACCTACAAATAAACATTTTCTATGGAACTACAAATAAACATTTTCTATGGAACTACAAATAAACATTTTCTATGGACATACAAATAGACATTTTCTATGGACCTACAAATAAACATTTTCTATGGAACAACAAATAAACATTTTCTATGGACCTACAAATAGACATTTTCTATGAACCTACAAATAAACATTTTCTATGGAACTACAAATAAACATTTTCAATGGAACAACAAATAAATATTTTCTATGGACCTACAAATAAACATTTTCTATGGAACTACAAATAAACATTTTCTATGGAACTACAAATAAACATTTTCTGTGGAACAACAAATAAACATTTTCTATGGACCTACAAATAAACATTTTCTATGGAACTACAAATAAACATTTTATATGGAACTACAAATAAGAGCTTTCTAAAATTTGTTATCGATCTTCATGTAAGTATGCTAGCTATACTGCATGATTCATTTTCAGAATCATATGTTCATTGAATACTTAATATATATTCTAACACATAATGATCATTATTGAAATTTTAGCCACATTTTTTACATAACTAAAAATAAAAGCTTCCTGGAATTTGTTATCTGGGTTCATGTGAGATGTGTTTTCAGATTCATCACTTATCAATTTCTTGTTTACGTAATACTAATAAATTCTAACACATAATGGCCATGTATGAAGTTTTAGTCAAATGCTATAATGTGTGATTCATTTTTATGTCTGTTTTTACCTAATAATTTAAGCAAGGGTATCATTAGTGAGCAATAGCTCACAGTTCTGCTTGATTAGATGGTATTAGAAAATATTGATCCGATATGAATAATATGTTTTGCTCTTGAAGCAAAACCATTTAACATGTTTAAAGTGAATTTAAAATTTATTATGTATAATTATATATTTCAGCAAGAAGGTCAGATAGCCAATATGGAAAATAGAAATTACTTTAGTTTACATTGTCTTCAAATGGAAACACAACTAATTCATGCAAATTTAGAAATATTATATGATGTACTTGGTGAAATGGCTGTTATACAAGCTAAATCACATTCTGAGGTAAGAAAGATAACTCTAGTAACATATTGAATGTAGCTGCACTATTTAACAAAAAAGAGTAAAAAGATGTGTCAACCTTAAGGGGATAAAATAGCAAGGAATGTCAAGCAGTCACAAGTTCAGAAATGTATGCAGTTTGTTTGTCTCAAGCTTTACTCTAGGGTGACAAAAAGCAAACCCTAAAAGATCCAAAATAAAAAGGAAAACCATCACCATTCAAAACATCTGAAAAAATCATAATAATATGTCACCTAAAATTTCATTCAGTTGAGAGATATTTATAAGATAACAAAACATGCAAGATGTAGACTCTTCAATTTTTTGTCAGTTCAGACATTTTAGATTGGAAAAAAACAGTTTTAAAATTCAATGATTTGAACTCGTCAAAATGAATAAAGACAATTCATTTTTATGTTAAAAACTGCATCATGTGTTTCAAGGTTTTAATTGTTAAAAGCCTAGCTTTTACCAGTCTGGTTGAATTACAGATTATGTGTTCACACTCCGCATACAATGATTTGACAACACTCCATTTGACGTTCGGTTTTTAAGACCTTTCAGAATTCTCTTGTTTTGTTATAATGATACACATCTTTAAAAATTTGAAGCCAGGAAATTTCTTTACCTGATTTAATAATTACAAAAACAGAAAGTAGAATGGATAGAGGTCAATTCCGATTAAGTAAAGTATGAACACAGGATTTGTAATTAATCAGACTGACCTTTTAATACCTGTTTTATTTTTACAATTCATGAAAAAAGAATCAAGTAAAATAAATGAATCCTTAGTATTACTTTAGGGGAACTTATTCAAATTAATTTACCAATGTTCTTCATATACATTGTGTCATTTATATCAATATTTGTAGATTGGAAAAGTATGGAGTGAAATAAAACCAATTGTAGACAATTTACATGGTAGAGATAGTTCAAGGCCAAATTCACCAACAAGGACCTCACCGATTGGATCACCAATGACCAGCAGTGGAGGAGGGTTACCCATGTGATTAAGTTTACATTCCAGGAGACATCTGTCTTTGCAATACTATCTAGTCACCTTGTAAAGAAATGCTTCCTCAGCAAGAGTTATGATATTACATTGTCACTGCCTCAATTAGGATATTAACATATGGTCAAGTGCTAGATTCTTTAAAAAGAATCAAATATTAAAAGTACTCAAAGAATGGTCAGAATGGAAATAACTGAACTTACCATGCTTATTTAATCTTGCAATTGCCTAACAATCAGAAATGACAGGTTTGTTAATATACTATGATTGTTAACTTAAGGTTGGAAGAGTAATTTTCCTTTATTAGTTTATTTACAGTGCATTCTATATAAATTGTATTTCCAGTTGTAAAATTAAAAAGTGATAAGAAGCATAATTTTTGTACATTATATATTAAAAATTCTATTAAATGGAAAGTTGCACCATTTTTTGTTTTTTAATTTTTATACCAATTCACTATTCATAAGCAGACTGATACCTTTAAGAAGTGTATTTCTTTGGAGCATTTTTTTAAGGGAGTTGTGGAAGTTTGCACATTTTCGAAATTATCAGCATTTAAAGATAATTAGATCTGCATGGTGGCACTGCAATAATATATATTGAAACGTATGGCCATGACATATAATTTGAAATTTATACAGTTGAAAGTTTTTTATAACACTATGACAATCTTCCATCTATTTGTAAATTAATTTGCTGCACTGATGGTAGAACTATCTTTATATATTCTGTGTTCCATATTAATAGAAAGTGTAAATTTTGTTTTTGATAAGTAAACTAAGTATATTTTAAGTCATTATCCATCCCCCTTTGATTCATGTATTTTTTACCACCCTGTTTTCAATTATAAAATCAGAATGTCTCATCAAGTTAAAATATTTTATAAGGTAACTCCTCTAGGACCAATCTTTATAAATTTGATATGCTGTTTTTATTGCAAAATGAATATCAAACTAAGTTTTGACTTTAATTTTTGTGGTAAGAGTTATTGTTCTTGAATGATTGAAAAAAGAAATTTTATTTTGTTTAAATGCATTAACTCAGGACTTGTTAAGGTAACCCTTTCCAAAGGAGCAGGTATGATAAGACAATGCTTAGACTCCTTGTATTAGAAAATCAAAAAGTATCATACATAAAAAAAATCAAATAACATTTTAGAAATTTTATTGGTTTAAAGTGCTTTTTTTGATAAACCTTCATCAGGAATGCTCAAAGCAAAATATTTTAAAGCTAAGGATGTATAAATAACGGAACACAAGATGAGCTATACGACAAAAAGGGACATAAAAATAACAGCCAATTCCATCTAAGGTCATCTTTGCCATCTATTAATTTACATCTTTCAGATATTCAAAGTCTGTCAGATATTAGTATTTATTTTTTTGAATTGTGTCTTACATATTTGATTTAAACTTCTCATTTTGAGATATTGTCATTAATATATGAGCAAAGGGATCTAAAGAGATATTTTGCTACAAGATGTTTTTTTACAAAGATATTCATTTAGGTAAAATATTTTGTATGTTAAGGCATTGGCTTGTTAGCAAATTTACCAAAAATTGTATGTAAAATGACCTTTCAGGTCAATAATGTGAATTTCAACATGTTTATGAAGTCATAGTAATATCACAACTGACTTTCCTGAACAACACTATCAAGATTATATCACCTTAATCATTTATCTGTAGTTTAGATATGTTTTATTGTTCAAAATGACAAATGGATCACACACAAGTTTTACAACTTGGCAATGTCTTCTCCAAAGAAAACAAATCCTTATAAGGAAAAAAAAACATGAAGTGTAATTCCTAACAGTCGTGAAGCCTTGAAAAGGTTAGTGATATTGAGTAAGATGCTGATGCAGGTTAACATTTATATAGTTATTGCTCTTAAAAAGCTCAGTCAAATGGTTGTGTTAAAATTTGCCTTAGTTTGATTGAAATACCATATAGACATGATAGAGATGTAGAATCAATAAGACAGAAACCAACATATCCATAGCTCTACGACACAGGCTTTCCGTATATTAAGACATTTATGTAGACAAATTCCAAAATTAAAGCAAGAAATAATTTCAGCTAAGAAAAATATAAAGGTCGATATAACAAAAATAAAATGGCTACTTATTTGTATAGTTGTATATGCAAGGTTTTTTTAGCTATGCAAATATATTATATCAGTAGAAAAGTTTAAAAGAATTAAAATCTCACAGATAGCCCGACAATAAACAATAAACAAATTTGTACTGCAATTTCTTTAATATTTATAAAGATATATTAGACCAATGTACAACATGGTTATAGCTTGTCTTGTCAACATATAATTGAATATAATAGTTTTTTATACGACCGCAAAAAATTTTTGCTGTTGTATATTTTGGTATGAAGTTGGCGTCGTCGTTCGAAGACACATTGGTTTTCGCACAATAACTTTAGTTTAAGTGAATGGATCTCTATGAAATTTTACCATAAGGTTCAATATCTCAAAAGGAAGGTTGGGATTGATTTTGGGGGTTATGGTACCAACAGTTAAGGAATTAGGGGCCAAAAAGGGGCCAAAAATAAGCATTTTTGTGACTTCCAGACAATAACTTGTGTGTTAGTGTATGGATCTCTCTGACATTGTACCACAAGGTTTCATATCTCAAAGGGAATGCTGGGATTGATTTTGGGGGTAATTGCCTCAAAATTTTAGGAATTAGGGGCCAAAAACAAGCATTTTTCTAGTTTCATGACAATAACTTGTGTGTAAGTGTATGGATCTTTCTGAAATTGTACTACAAGGTTCCATATCACAAAGGGAAAGCTGGAATTGAGTTTGAGGGTAATTGCCCAAAACGTTTAGGAATAAGGGGCCAAAAAAGGGCAAAAAATAAGCATTTTTCTAGTTTCCAGACAATAACTTATGTTCAAGTGTATGAATCTCTCTGAAATTGTACTGCAAGGTACCATACCACAAAGGGAAGGCTGGGATTGAGTTTGGGGGTGATGAATCATAAGGGGGTTCAAAAAATTGGGGGGAGGGGGATTTTTTTTCCTTTTTTATACGACTGCAAAAAATTTTTTGTGGTCGTATATTGGTATGACGTTGGCGTCGTCGTCGTCTGGCGTCGTCCGGAGACACATTGGTTTTCGCACTCTAACTTTAGTTTAAGTGAATGGATCTCTATGAAATTTTACCACAAGGTTCAATACCACAAAAGGAAGGTTGGGATTGATTTTGGGGGTTATGGTACCAACAGTAAAGGAATTAGGGGCCAAAAAGGGGCCAAAAATAAGCATTTTTGTAATTTCCAGACATAACTTGTGTGTAAGTGTATGGATCTCTCTGACATTGTACCACAAGGTTCCATATCACAAAAGGAATGCTGGGATTGATTTTGGGGGTAATTGCTTCAAAATTTTAGGAATTAGGGGCCAAAAAAGGGGCAAAAAACAAGCATTTTTCTATTTTCAGGACCATAACTTGTGTGTTAGTGTATGGATCTTTCTGAAATTGTACTACAAGGTTCCATATCACAAATGGAAAGCTGGGTTTGAGTTTGGGGGTAATTACCCTAAACGTTTAGGAATTTGGGGCCAAAAAGGGGCCAAAAAACACATTTTTCTAGTTTCCAGACAATAACTTGTGTTCAAGTGTATGGATATCTCTGAAATTGTACTGCAAGGTACCATACCACAAAGGGAAGGCTGGTATTGAGTTTGGGGGTGATGAATCATAAGGGGGTTCACAAAATTTGGGGGGGGGGATTTTTTTTTTTCCTTTTTTTTTTCTTTTAAAATTTTCCATTTTAAGTTGGTTATTTCTGATTTATATTTAAAAGCAAATAATAATGATATGGTAGGAGATACACACCAAACAGGATGTGTAAATTATTATATAATAAGTATTGTGCAATAGCAAGAAATTTTCAATTGCACAGTATTGCACAATAGCAAGAAATCTTCAATTGCACAGTATTGCACAATAGCAAGAAATCTTCAATTGCACAGTATTGCGCAATAGCAAGAAATATCCAATAGCACAATATTGCGCAATAGCAAGAAATTGTCAATTGTACGGTATTGCGCAATAGCAAGAAATATTTAATTGCACAGTATTGTGCAAAAGAAGATACTTCGTATAAATTGCTTATTTCTTGACCAATTTCAATGGGGTTTTATTCTTGAATTCTTGGAGTTTTTTAATATGCTAAATCATACCGTGTATTAAGTTTTTGGATTTTGGGCCCCATTTTTAAATTGGTCCACATTGAGGTCCAAAGGGTCCAAAATTAAACTTTGTTTGATTTCATCAAAAATTGAATTATGGGGTTCTTTGATATGCCGAATCTAACAGTGTATTTAGATTCTTAATTTTTGGTTCCGTTTTCAAATTGGTCTACATTAAGGTCCAAAGAGTCCAAAATTAAACTTAGTTTGATTTTAACAAAAATTGAATTTTTAGGGTTCTTTGATATGCTGAATCTAAACATGTATTTAGATTTTTGATTATGGGCCCAGTTTTCAAGTTGGTCCAAATCGGGGTCCAAAATTAAACTTTGTTTGATTTCAACAAAAATTGAATATATGGGGTTCTTTGATATGCTGAATCTAACCATGTATTTAGATTTTTGATTTTTGGGCCCCGTTATTAACTTTGTCCACATTGAGGTCAAAAGGGTCCAAAATTAAACTTTGTTTGATTTCATCAAAAGTTGAATTCTTGGGGTTCTTTGATATGCTGAATCTAACCATGTATTTAGATTTTGGATATTGGGCCATAATAGGTGAATGTCCAATTTAAAAATTTTAAGTTCTTTGACAACATTCATTCTGTGTCAGAAACCTATGCTGTGTCAAATATTTAATCACAATTCAAATGCAAAGCTGTATCAAGCTTGAATGTTGTGTCCATACTTGCCCCAACTGTTCAGGGTTCGACCTCTGCGGTCGTATCAAGCTGCACCCTGCGGAGCATTTTATTTTTCTTTAAAATTTTCCATTTTAAGTTGGTTATTTTTTATTTATATATAAAAATTCTAGGAATTAGGGGCCAAAAAGGGGCAAAAAACGTGTTTTTCTATTTTCATGACAATAACTTGTGTGTAAGTGAATGGATCTTTATGAAATTGTACTACAAGGTTCCATATCACAAAGGGAAAGCTGGGTTTGAGTTTGGGGGTTATTGCCCTAAACGTTTAGGAATTTGGGGCTTAAAAGGGGCCAAAAAACAAGCATTTTTACAGTTTCCAGACAATAACTTGTGTTCAAGTGTATGGATCTCTCTGAAATTGTACTGCAAGGTAGTAAGGGAAGGCTGGGATTGAGTTTGGGGGTGATGAATCATAAGGGGGTTAAAAAAATTGGGGGGAGGGGGATTTTTTTCCTTTTTTTTTTCTTTAAAATTTTCCATTTTAAGTTGGTTATTTTTGATTTATATATAAAAATTCTAGGAATTAGGGGCCAAAAAGGGGCAAAAAACAAGCGTTTTTCTAGTTTCAGGACAATAACTTGTGTGTAAGTGAATGGATTTTTATGAAATTGTACTAAAAGGTTCCATGTCACAAAGGGAAAGCTGGGTTTGAGTTTGGGGGTTATTGCCCGAAACATTTAGGAATTTGGGGCCAAAAAAACAAGCATTTTTACAGTTTCCAGACAATAACTTGTGTTCAAGTGTATGGATCTCTCTGAAATTGTACTGCAAGGTACAATACCACAAAGGGAAGGCTGGGATTGAGTTTGGGGGTGATGAATGAAAATTTCCCTTTTTTTTTTTTTTCCTTTTCTCACTTTTTTTTTCTTTAAAATTTTCGATTTTAAGTTGGTTATTTTTGATTTATATATAAAAGCAAATAATAATGATATGGTTTGATTTCATCAAAAATTGAAATATTTGGGTTCTTTGATATGCTGAATCTAACCATGTATTTAGATTCTTAATTTTTGGTCCCGTTTTGAAATTGGTCTACATTAAGGTCCAAAGGGTCCAAAATTAAACTTAGTTTGATTTGAACAAAAATTGAATTCTTGGGGTTCTTTGATATGCTGAATCTAACCATGTTTGTACTTAGATTTTGGATATTAGACCATAATAGGTTAATTAAAAAATTTTAAGTTCTTAGACCACATTCATTCTGTGTCGGAAACCTATGCTGTGTCAAATATTTAATCACAATCCAAATTCAGAGCTGTATCAAGCTTGAATGTTGTGTCCATACTTGCCCCAACTGTTCAGGGTTCGACCTCTGCGGTCGTATCAAGCTGCGCCTAGTGGAGCATTTTATTTAGCAGTTACATATATATTAGCCATTTGTTGGCTTTTTTATACCATTATTGATATAACAAAATCAAAATTTGGAACTACAATTTCATGATTCACCAGTTTATCATTTGAATTACTGTTTTAAATTAATATTGTTGTTTTTAAGGGTAACATTTTCTTAAAAAGATGTGGTATGACTGCCTGGTTAGGCTTTAGCAATGTTATCTAGTTCTAGATTCTATTGTAAAAGTTGTGTTCTATTATAGATACATTGAGGTTACACAAGTGCGATAATTGGTTGATCAGTTTTTATAACATTTTAAAAGCATGAAAGAGCTGTGAAAGTTCTTTTTCAATCAAGAAATTGCTATCCAAACAACACAAAATGAGAAAGTTATAAAAACTTAAGGTCCATTGTGAATGTTGCCTCAGATAGAGATTGTTATCTTAATTTATGTTGCTACAGAGTTATATTTGTTACAAATTGTACATTTGAAAAAAAATTTAAAACAGAGACCTATGGTCAGATTTATGTAAAAACACAATTATTGTATATTTTTAGAATCAAAATTTATTATGAGAAGGGTCATTGTTTGTTTTTCTTGTTAATCATCTGTGCCAGCCAGGCTTTAACGTAAAATTAAGAAACTATAGATCACTGTACAGCCTTCAACAATGAACAAAGCCCATACTTTGCAGCAAGCTATGAAAGGGCACAACATGACAAGTGTAAAACAATTAATAAGAGGAAACTAACAGTACGATTTTATGTAAAAAAAAAATAAACAAAAAACAAAATGTGATATTACAAACGACAACCACTGAATTGCAGGCTCCCGACTTGGGGACAGGCACATACAGAATGTAGTGGGGTTAAGCATGTATGAGGACGCCCAAACAATCTCAAGAGCACAACATAAGATCAAACTATAAAAGTCTGTTGGAAAAGGCAGTGGCGGATCCAGAACTTTTCATAAGGGGGGGCCCGCTGACTGACCTAAGGAGGGGCCCGCTCCAGTCATGCTTCAGTGATTCCCTATATAATCAACCAAATTTTTCCCACAAAAGGGGGGGCCTGGGCCCGGGCCCCCCAGGGCCCCCCCCCCTGGATCCGCATATGAAAGGCTTGCTTGGCTCATGAGATAAATTAATAAGGCAGTGGCAATTTTGCCTGCACCGGCAATATAGTGATTTTTATATTTTGCCGGTTCTTTGAAAAGAGTTAAATTTATTATTAACTTTTGAAAAGTACTGTAAACATGTGCACTGTCAACATAAAAGAATCAAATAATTACTGATATACCATTAGCTAAATAAGAAAACAGCTAACAATATTTCAGATACATATAATCGTTTAAAAATATTTATCAGTCAAAGTGAAAATAAGAATTTATAACAAGAAATAAAATAAAAATATTTAGCATCCATTTGTTGTAATGAAATCCTATCAAAACATGTAGTTGAAATTATTTCTAAAATCAGTTAGAGTCTAATGCTACATGTATAAGAATAAAATTGAGATGATATTTTGCCGGCTTGAATTGAGATATTTCAATCCTTCGCAAACTATAGATTCATATACATGGATGTCAATACCACACACTAAGCAAATTCACTCTGCTGTGTCCTTCTGTGATATATTGGTATTTTTTTTAGCATTTTCAATCTAAAATGGTTGATCCATTACTCGTAATGAAATTGCTATTTCACAACGGGATGTGATTAAATGTGACATGAATTTCAGTAGACATACAAATAGAACAAATGTTTACATAGCTCTGATTTGGACGGGATCCTTCCGATTTGGGGGAAAAATCAAGTTCTGTCACCATGAATGCGTGAATATTTTAATTCAGAATAAATCAAATCTTTATTTCTGATCTCTTTTTTGCTTTGGACGGTGTTCATATTTTACCGTTAAAGAACTTCTATATAATTGAACAAAATTTGCATTTAATTGTTGAAGTTTATCATTAAAATTTTGAAAAGATATAAACTTTTCACCGACCACAAATTGGACATCTTGCTCGTTAGAATCCATACTTTAATCGACCCCGTATGACAAAAATGAACATCATATTGGTACATATATCTGGAAGTTTAATCATGTTAATGATTTTACATAAAAATTAAATTGTTAAATCTATTTCACAGATTGCTCTTAAATCAAACATTTTTAGAAATATTTTGCGGGTAACAATAACTGTAGGTAACAATATTTTTTTTTTTATTGTTACCTGCAATTTCCGTTCGAAATCAGGTCCCTCTCTGGAAATGCATCTCGTCAAATATTCTCGGAAGTAACCATTATTATTTCTTATTGTTACTTTTTGCGGGTAACCGTAGCCAGTGCCTGAATATTATTGAGCATGTGAATTTATTTTAAATAGATATAAGAAGATGTGGTATGAGTGCCAATGAGACAACTCTCCATCCAAGTCACAATTTGTAAAAGTAAACCATTATAGGTCAAAGTACGGCCTTCAACACGGAGCCTTGGCTCACACCAAAGCCTTCTTGTCATGATTGACACACCAGTTTATTTTATAGTTACAATTAAAATTTGTCTGTCTTTAAAAATCGCTTCCAGATCCAGAAGATTGAAACAGATTTAGGTGTTAAATTAATTATATCACATCTTGAGAAGTCAAAATTGATGAATTTGAATAAAAATTCGGCCGATTTACTACTTCCAAGGTCATAAATAAATTTGATCTCATTAAATTTTGGCTTTTGAACCAACTTGGTAACATGGTTTTTTTTTAGCCATGAGTAAGGCAGCACTAAACCAACTGGAAAACACCTTAAAGGACATTCTCAAAGTCTGGCAGTTGTTAAATAAGGCTAATATTTATAAAGAACATTGCAAAGACAACACTTTACATCTTTGAAACCAAATCACATTTGAAAACAAATGAATTTGCAGTATTTAGATAGACAACCAATGTTAAAGCTTTTATCTTTTGTAAGATCCATTGGCAACAGAAGGAATATCCCTAACACAGTATTTGCTATGTCATTTTGACTGCTAATGTTGAAGTAGCATAGCAATTTCAAACATAAACCAAATTGGTAAAAAGGTGAAATCGAGCATTTCGTAAAGGTTTACAGTAACATGACATGGTTTCTCGCTCTAGTGTGGGAGTGCAAGTTATCGAATAATGAAAATGAGAGGTGAAACCGTTCTTTTTATTTTGAAAGGAAGGGATGAGCCTATGAACAAGTTATCAGAGAGTATCTGCATTTGAATATTGCAAAATGCATGAAATGCAAAAAAAACATATTAAGTTGTTTGCTGGCAGTCAGTGGGACATTTTACATTCTCATTCAGCAAGATACACGTAGAATAAATACGAGATCTGAAAATGCACAAATAATGATAATGATAATAATATATTAATAATAATACTATGTTTCAAGAGGGTAAACACAGTTAGTTAAAATAAACTAACCTTCCCTGAAGCATATACAAATAAAAATACAATCAAATACAGATTTGTACACATAGTTAATCTACAATTATATAGATCAATGTATCATTATAAAAGAAATAACAGTTATAGAGGTATACATACAATACTAAGAACCATCCAACTGAATGTTGCTGACGATAATCGGTTGTTATCAGGTCATACCAATTTTGATCCATTGTTAAATTCCTGTTTCTGAGATTCGACCATTTACTACAAGGACATCGGCAATATTCTGACCTGATTGATATCCGATCTCATGTTACCAGTGGTGTGGTGCGTATCAATGGTGTTTTTGGTATAGGCTTCGTGATATATTAATGTAAGAGCTGTCAGATATTGTTTCAGTTTTGTCACAGAGCAATTTTTGTTTTAGGGTAGAACGGATGTCTTCCTCTATCTTGAATTTAAAATAATCTGTCTAGATCTTTAACGAAATATGAAAATGTTGAAAAATGAATGTAAAAAAAACTGAAAGACTTTCTTATAAATGAAGAAAACTACATGTTTACTTAAAGGATACATGTCGGTCGATTCAGCTGAAAAACGGACTAATTACACAGTGTGTATGTTGTCGGGTTCGACAGTAATACAAGCTTTCCCCTACACAACCACATCTCTATACTTTGTATTTTCCCTTTTATGTCTACATATAATGTACAAATATTAGCATAAATTATACAGATTTTAGTCTTGTTGCACATTTTCATACATTACAAAATATTTTCACATAAATATCGGACCCTAAAACTCAAATAGAAAAAATGCAGACATTAACATCAAAGCTTTTTTAGATTTGATAATTTTTTGGGCTGAAAAGTTATCAGAGAGTATCTGCATTTGAATATTGCAAAATGCATGAAATGCAAAAAAACATATTAAGTTGTTTGCTGGCAGTCAGTGGGACATTTTACATTCTCATTCAGCAAGATACACGTAGAATAAATACGAGATCTGAAAATGCACAAATAATAATAATGATAATAATGTATTAATAATAATACTATGTTTCAAGAGGGTAAACACAGTTAGTTAAAAAAAACTAACCTTCCCTGAAGCATATACAAATAAAAATACAATCAAATACAGATTTGTACACATAGTTAATCTACAATCATATAGATCAATGTATCATTATAAAAGAAATAACAGTTAAAGAGGTATACATACAATACTAAGAACCATCCAACTGATTGTTGCTAACTATACTCGGTTGTTATCAGGTCATACCAATTTTGATCCATTGTTAAATTCCTGTTTCTGAGATTTGACCATTTACTACAAGGACATCGGCAATATTCTGACCTGATTGATATCCGATCTCATGTTACCAGTGGTGTGGTGCGTATCAATGGTGTTGTTGGTATCGGCTTCGTGATATATTAATGTAAGAGCTGTCAGATATTGTTTCAGTTTTGTCACAGAGCAATTTTTGTTTTAGGGTAGAACGGATGTCTTCCTCTATCTTGAATTTAAAATAATGTCTAGATCTTTAACGAAATATGAAAATGTTGAAAAATGAATGTAAAAAAAAAAACTGAAAGACTTTCTTATAAATGAAGAAAACTACATGTTTACTTAAAGGATAAATGTCGATTCAGCTGAAAAACTGACTAATTACACAGTGTGTATGTTGTCGGGTTCGACAGTAATACAAGCTTTCCCCTACACAACCACATCTCTATACTTTGTATTTTCCCTTTTATGTCTACATATAATGTACAAATATTAGCATAAATTATACAGATTTTAGTCTTGTTGCACATTTTCATACATTACAAAATATTTTCACATAAATATCGGACCCTAAAACTCAAATAGAAAAAATGCAGACATTAACATCAAAGCTTTTTTAGATTTGATAATTTTTTGGGCTGAAAAGTTATCAGAGAGTATCTGCATTTGAATATTGCAAAATGCATGAAATGCAAAAAAAACATATTAAGTTGTTTGCTGGCAGTCAGTGGGACATTTTACATTCTCATTCAGCAAGATACACGTAGAATAAATACGAGATCTGAAAATGCACAAATAATAATAATGATAATAATGTATTAATAATAATACTATGTTTCAAGAGGGTAAACACAGTTAGTTAAAATAAACTAACCTTCCCTGAAGCATATACAAATAAAAATACAATCAAATACAGATTTGTACACATAGTTAATCTACAATCATATAGATCAATGTATCATTATAAAAGAAATAACAGTTAAAGAGGTATACATACAATACTAAGAACCATCCAACTGATTGTTGCTGATGATAATCGGTTGTTATCAGGTCATACCAATTTTGATCCATTGTTAAATTCCTGTTTCTGAGATTCGACCATTTACTACAAGGACATCGGCAATATGCTGACCTGATTGATATCCGATCTAATGTTACCAGTGGTGTGGTGCGTATCAATGGTGTTTTTGGTATGGGCTTCGTGATATATTAATGTAAGAGCTGTCAGATATTGTTTCAGTTTTGTCACAGAGCAATTTTTGTTTTAGGGTAGAACGGATGTCTTCCTCTATCTTGAATTTAAAATAATCTGTCTAGATCTTTAACGAAATATGAAAATGTTGAAAAATGAATGTAAAAAAAAGAAACTGAAAGACTTTCTTATAAATGAAGAAAACTACATGTTTACTTAAAGGATAAATGTCGATTCAGCTGAAAAACGGACTAATTACACAGTGTGTATGTTGTCGGGTTCGACAGTAATACAAGCTTTCCCCTACACAACCACATCTCTATACTTTGTATTTTCCCTTTTATGTCTACATATAATGTACAAATATTAGCATAAATTATACAGATTTTAGTCTTGTTGCACATTTTCATACATTACAAAATATTTTCACATAAATATCGGACCCTAAAACTCAAATAGAAAAAATGCAGACATTAACATCAAAGCTTTTTTAGATTTGATAATTTTTTGGGCTGAAAAGTTATCAGAGAGTATCTGCATTTGAATATTGCAAAATGCATGAAATGCAAAAAAACATATTAAGTTGTTTGCTGGCAGTCAGTGGGACATTTTACATTCTCATTCAGCAAGATACACGTAGAATAAATACGAGATCTGAAAATGCACAAATAATAATAATGATAATAATGTATTAATAATAATACTATGTTTCAAGAGGGTAAACACAGTTAGTTAAAAAAAACTAACCTTCCCTGAAGCATATACAAATAAAAATACAATCAAATACAGATTTGTACACATAGTTAATCTACAATCATATAGATCAATGTATCATTATAAAAGAAATAACAGTTAAAGAGGTATACATACAATACTAAGAACCATCCAACTGATTGTTGCTAACTATACTCGGTTGTTATCAGGTCATACCAATTTTGATCCATTGTTAAATTCCTGTTTCTGAGATTTGACCATTTACTACAAGGACATCGGCAATATTCTGACCTGATTGATATCCGATCTCATGTTACCAGTGGTGTGGTGCGTATCAATGGTGTTGTTGGTATCGGCTTCGTGATATATTAATGTAAGAGCTGTCAGATATTGTTTCAGTTTTGTCACAGAGCAATTTTTGTTTTAGGGTAGAACGGATGTCTTCCTCTATCTTGAATTTAAAATAATGTCTAGATCTTTAACGAAATATGAAAATGTTGAAAAATGAATGTAAAAAAAAAAACTGAAAGACTTTCTTATAAATGAAGAAAACTACATGTTTACTTAAAGGATAAATGTCGATTCAGCTGAAAAACTGACTAATTACACAGTGTGTATGTTGTCGGGTTCGACAGTAATACAAGCTTTCCCCTACACAACCACATCTCTATACTTTGTATTTTCCCTTTTATGTCTACATATAATGTACAAATATTAGCATAAATTATACAGATTTTAGTCTTGTTGCACATTTTCATACATTACAAAATATTTTCACATAAATATCGGACCCTAAAACTCAAATAGAAAAAATGCAGACATTAACATCAAAGCTTTTTTAGATTTGATAATTTTTTGGGCTGAAAAGTTATCAGAGAGTATCTGCATTTGAATATTGCAAAATGCATGAAATGCAAAAAAAACATATTAAGTTGTTTGCTGGCAGTCAGTGGGACATTTTACATTCTCATTCAGCAAGATACACGTAGAATAAATACGAGATCTGAAAATGCACAAATAATAATAATGATAATAATGTATTAATAATAATACTATGTTTCAAGAGGGTAAACACAGTTAGTTAAAATAAACTAACCTTCCCTGAAGCATATACAAATAAAAATACAATCAAATACAGATTTGTACACATAGTTAATCTACAATCATATAGATCAATGTATCATTATAAAAGAAATAACAGTTAAAGAGGTATACATACAATACTAAGAACCATCCAACTGATTGTTGCTAACTATACTCGGTTGTTATCAGGTCATACCAATTTTGATCCATTGTTAAATTCCTGTTTCTGAGATTTGACCATTTACTACAAGGACATCGACAATATTCTGGCCTGATTGATATCCGATCTCATGTTACCAGTGGTGTGGTGCGTATCAATGGTGTTTTTGGTATGGGCTTCGTGATATATTTATGTAAGAGCTGTCAGATATTGTTTCAGTTTTGTCACAGAGCAATTTTTGTTTTAGGGTAGAACGGATGTCTTCCTCTATCTTGAATTTAAAATAATCTGTCTAGATCTTTAACGAAATATGAAAATGTTGAAAAATGAATGTAAAAAAAAAACTGAAAGACTTTCTTATAAATGAAGAAAACTACATGTTTACTTAAAGGATAAATGTCGATTCAGCTGAAAAACGGACTAATTACACAGTGTGTATGTTGTCGGGTTCGACAGTAATACAAGCTTTCCCCTACACAACCACATCTCTATACTTTGTATGTTCCCTTTTATGTCTACATATAATGTACAAATATTAGCATAAATTATACAGATTTTAGTCTTGTTGCACATTTTCATACATTACAAAATATTTTCACATTAATATCGGACCCTAAAACTCAAATAGAAAAAATGCAGACATTAACATCAAAGCTTTTTTAGATTTGATAATTTTTTGGGCTGAAAACTTTGACTTAATATTCAAAGGAACATTGAAATGTTTTTGAATAGAGACAATGCCATACTATGCGTTGGAAGTGTATTGATTGATGTTATAGTCTGAGAAATCATGATTTATTTGCAAGTTATAATTGGCTTAAACAAGCGTTCAGTTATCGAGAGTTCTCTTTTATAGGTTATTTGTGTCAAAACTTCTCTTTTTGTAAGTTGTTTCACGAGTGTGCTTCGTGTCAATCTGATTGGTTAAGTCTTTTCCCACTTGTTCTTATATAGAAATAAGAAGATGTGGTATTAGTGCCAATGAGACAACTCTCCATGCCGTTTTGCTGTTACACCACTGTCCAAGCATCAACCACGCTTAACCCCATTATGTGTGTGTCTGTGTCCAAGACTGGAGCCTGTAATTCAGTGTTTACCCTTGGTGTGTGTCTGTTATATTTGTTTTTCTTTTATTGTTTTTACATACATTCATAAATTAGGCCATTTGCTTTCTAAAAGAAATAAACAAAAACCATATGACAGACAGCAATCACCGACAACCACAGAGTTACAGGCTCCTGGCTTAGAAACTTTACATTATTTTAAACTAAATAAAACTGCTTGTGCAAGAACGGTTGTAAGCAGTTATTCGAGAGGAACGAGAAGATGGGATAGCTAAAACATTTAAATTACTTAAAGTACCTTGCATGACCATCGATCGTTTAACATTTATTTTATGGCTGGTTTATTTATAAATTAGAATAGGTAATCATAAACTTCCTGTACAGGAAAGTGTGAAACGACCTTGAAATGGCGGATGATACAATTAATTTTGTAAAACTCTCTGTTGCAATATTATTTTTTTCAGACAAATTACACGGTAAGGATTTTATTTTCCTGTTTTATTTTGTGTATTGACCTGCTTATTATACGTTATATATATATTTCTTGATAATTAAAGGTGCCAACACGGAGCCACAGCAACATTCATACATGTACATGTATATAGAGTCATAGAAAACTGTCTTATAAATAACTTATCAATTTATCAGACATCAGAAAACAGTTTTAAAGTAAATTTCTATGTGATAGGACAATAACTTCCGCACAAATCGCTCAACCTTAACTATCTTAAACTTGATCTGTAACTGCTTATCATCTATATGACTATAAGCTAAATATCTTATTAATGGATTCAGACATTTTAGAAAAAAAACACGGATTCATATTTTCAAGTCATTTTCTAATTCGTGGGGCAACAACTTCCACAAAAAACTTGAACGAACCTGAAATGTAACTATATACTAAATATCTAATCAATTGATTCAGCAGGCATTGTAAAAAAAGAGAGCCAATTATATTTTCAAGTAACTTTCTATATCAAAGTGCTATACCGATCGCAAATATCGTTCAACCGGACCAAGGCTTAAAATCTGAACTTTTTATGATTTACTTTATGTAAAAAAAATCTTAATCAGTTGATACAGGCAATATATGTCAATGAAGAAATAGCATCAAAATGTGGTGCACACTGAATAACCCGCGTAGCGTGTTATTTAAAAGTGTGCACCACATTTCTGAGGTTATTTCGAATAGACAGAAAATATATTACAGTCAGTCCTTATAATTTTATGCTAACTTCCATTTTTACAGAGTAATCATGATTATTTCTATGAGCTGATAGACAAAAACCTTTCAGCCAATCAGAAGACGCATTACATCCAAAATTAAATTATTCAGAAATACGTAAAAAAATTTATCTTAGGCGATCACCGGAGCATCAAAGTATTTAGATTTTAGATAACTAGATAGAATATAAAGTTTCAACATGGCAAATAATTTGAGAGGCCTCAGACTACATAAAAATTTTAATGAATAAACTGACTGAAAGCAAGAAAATGAAGGAGCACACATAAGTGAAAATATCTGAAGAATAACATTTAATATGCCATAACTGTTACATGTGTTAAATATAAAAGCATAAACCTCCAGCAGGGGGACATTTTTTCTGGTACTGCATGCTCCATTTGTATTATTGATTTTTCTGGTACTGCATGCTCCATTTATGTTATTGATTTTCTGGTACTGTATGATCCATTTGTATTATTGATTTTTCTGGTACTGCATGCTCCATTTGTGTTATTGATTTTTCTGGTACTGCATGCTTCATTTGTGTTATTGATTTTTCTGGTACTGCATGCTCCATTTGTGTTATTGATTTTCTGGTACTGCATGCTCCATTTGTGTTATTGATTTTTCTGGTACTGCATGCTCCATTTGTGTTATTGATTTTTCTGGTACTGCATGCTCCATTTGTGTTATTGATTTTTCTGGTACTGCATGCTTCATTTGTGTTATTGATTTTTCTGGTACTGCATGCTCCATTTGTGTTATTGATTTTTCTGGTACTGCATGCTCCATTTGTGTTATTGATTTTGTCCATTTCATAATAGAGAGGTGGAAGATACCAAAGAGATATCCACACTCATAAGTAGGAGACAAACTGACAATGACATGACAAAAACGAAAACACAATCAAGGCAAACAATATTTTAACAGATTACAAATCACAACATAGAAAACTGATACTAAGCAACACGAATCCTTCAACAACGATGGGTATTCGTACGTGCTCCGGAAGTGTAAGCATTTTCATTCGGGTGAAATGTAAGGAAAAAAATTAAATTGATATTATTACATGTAACTGTTTTAACTTTCTGTTAAAATTATAAGAAAATATAAATCCGTAGAAATTATATTAATTAACAATTTCTTAATTTTTCGCAAACGACTTTTCTAAACACGGGAGGTTTCAACTGGTATCGGTTATTTGAATTTGTATTTGGTGTTAGTCTCTTCAACTTGATAAGATTGCGTGCAAAAACTAAAATGTTACTACAATACGACTAGGAGATGAACGCCAAAAAAAAAAAACAAAAAAAAACATGAATAGGACTTCGATTTGAGAAAATGAAATAGGAATTCGATTAAATACGGTTGAGAACTTGGCGTCGAATCGGAATTATATTTTATTATGACGTCAGAACGAGCTCCCTTTTAAGAAATGGACGTCGATTAGAGACTGGAAGTTTTTCAGAATTTAACGCATGAAACCAACTTTTATATGATTTGTTTATAATAAATTTAAAAAACGACTCAAATTTAGGCATATTTACTGGCATTATTTTCGAAGATACATTGAAATTTTGTTTATTTGTTTTTATCATTTACAGATATCGGCCGTATAAAACATATGCAAAATATGTACGTTTTTGCATGGTCAATATTGCCGGAAGTCAAGGTTGGTTATTTGCCCTCGGGGCCAATATCGATATTATTTCTCGAAAATCCATATTGTGCCCCCGACATTGACTTCCGGTAACCTGTCAGTCAAAAACTATTTATAAGGTTGGTTATTTGCCTTCAGGGCCAATATCGATATCAGACCTGGAAAACAAATATCGTGCCCCCGAAATTGACTTCCGGTAACCTGTCAATCAAAAACATTATTATTAATTCACTGTGACACATTTTTTAAATTTTTTTTCTTCAAATGATTTTTTTGAATTTTTGTTGAAAATATTAAACATAATTTGATAAATGCTTTCTTTTTTCTCCAGCTTGAAAATATGTGATAAATAGATCAACAATTGATTATTACATGGCATTTTCCATATTGGCCCTGGTATCAGCCCTAGACTCCCATATCAAGCAAAAGGGCTTTATTTTCCATATTGGCCCTGGTATAAAGCCCTCTGGCTTGATATGGGAGTCTAGGACTGATACCAGGGCCAATATGGAAAATGCCATGTAATAATCTATAGTACACAAACCTGTCCATAAGAACTTGATAAGGACCGACATCATCATGAAATTTCTATTGACATTTTAAAACTTAGAATGGTCAGATCATTTTCTCAAGTTTATTTGATAGTAAAATTAAAACAAAATGAAAGGATGCGCATTTTTTTGTTCCTGCAGTTCTACGAAATATAACCAGTAGCTGTTTTCATACCCTTTTTCTCGAGAACGGTATCAAGTTAAAATACTAGTATATATGAGAATAACAAACAATTTATCTTGTTTGGTGTACGGACGTTTAAATATGTTTTTTTCTCTTTAATTTAAAGGCTTAATCTTTGAGAGATTGCTATGTGAAAATTCTGATGCAGAACTCAACTGTCCTGTTGGAAAAGCAATAGACGATATCAATATTACATTTAATGACGAACAAGATGCTTGCAGTCTTACAGATGACGATTATACAGGGACCATAGCTTTGAACTCAACATATTACCCATCATGCATTGGTCACAACTCGTGTGTATTAACGGACAAAATTGTCAATTTTTTTAGTTCAGTTGCGGTCAAAACGAAGAAGTTATTTATCGAATATCACTGTGTTCGTAAGTAAATGGTAAAATCAGTGTAGAAAAGACACGCTCGATTAGAACGATATCTTAATGAAGAAGTTTTTATTTGAAAATGCATATACATCGTGCATGTCCTGTACGGGATGTTTAGTTCACTGACCAAAATGTAATTTTGTTTTGTTCAAGGCAGATTATGACTTCAGCTTTACCAGTCCAAGACGACATGAACCATACAAATTCATGTAAAAGAAAAAATGCATGCTTAACCGCACTTGATTAGAAGCAGCACATTTTGCTTCTCGAAAATAAAATCTGAACAAACATCGCACTGTTTCTAGTAAATAATTAAAGTTCATGGAGAAGAGACACACTAACTTAAGCATCGAGAAAACATCATATCAATTTATTTTTATTTCAAAATGCATGTTCATCCTGTCTGATAAAAATGAAGACATTTTCATTCTATGCACATGATGCATTTATCACTACCAGGACTAGTCAACAGCAAGCTTTATCACCAATGTGGATCACTATCCTTTGTCTAGGGAATTGTACCATTTTGCTCAAGTACAAAATTACAAAATAAAGTAAAATTCAAAATTGTTTAACAATAAATTTGTTTTAAAATCGTATGACACGAACATTGAATTTCCACTAATGTTAATATAGTTTCAAGTAAGTCCTATATGCCTAAAATATAGTTGATAATGCAATTGGCATTTTACTAATAATCTGAAAATGTGCATTTCTTATTTCTTTACAGATGAAATGAATCAGCACCATAACCCAAAGGATGCTAGAACTGTTTGTCCCTTCAATATGGAGTCAGTAAAATGTGGAAATAGATTAAGACAAATAGAAATTCAGTCGGTTGAATTGATGCAGTATTCATCGTTTTGCGAAAATCAAAATTGGGATATAAATTGCACAGACTTGATTCACCAGAGATTAAATACATCATGCAATGGAAAACAAAAATGTGAACCACTTATTTGGAAAGAATCAATCTCTACATGGGATGATTGTATCAGAATACCAAAGTTTGTTAATATCTCATTCAGTTGTATAAAAGGTCAGTCTAGTAATGTTAGCACTAGGTACACAACTTAATTCCAATTTCATAAATTTATTTCAATACATAAAATACACATATTTCATCATCGTATAAACTGAAGTTGTAAATTCTCAAAGTTAAGAAGCCCTCTCAATGATCAATTTGAATAGACAAGATATGCGGAGTTTTAATATCAACTAGCACACTAACAAACTGGTGAAGCGGGAATAATAGAACAGAAACTTTTCTCACGAAAAGGCAACCATATCAATAGTTTGCAAATATACATGCGGATGCACATTTCTTGTCTTCCAGTATTTATCGATAGAATTGTATTCGAAGCTGTTTTCACAGATTTTTTTATAAATATGCTAATCTTTGCTGCATATTGATACAAAAAATTGGAGCTAAATGTACATACAAATTCAAAGCTCTTTTCGGACAACACTTTTCAGAGTGTTATAAGAAGTCTATAGGATGCTACAATTTTCCGAAATCTGGTATATTTTCAAAAACTAAATTATGAGCCTGCTGGTCTGTTGATCGTCCTGAAAATTTTCAATATAAAATATTGGTTTTTGTGTGAATATAACGATTTGAAAGTTGTGTCTATTCAGGTGAAAGAATTAAAGGAAGAAATTAGTACAAAAAGGATTTAACCATTTTGTTTAACAATTTAAAGAATTTAAAGAACAGGTCGTATCACTTTGTGTACATATGTGCGTTTTTCTCGATTTAATGTTTATATCTGAATAAGCTAAAAATGAGAATGGAAACGGGGAATGTGTCAAAGAGACAACAACCCGACCAAAGAACAGAAAACAGCCCAAAGGCACCGATGAGTCTACAACACAGCAAGAAAATACCACACTCGGAGGCGGTCTTCGGCTGGCCCCTAAACAAAAAATGTGTACTAGTTCAGAGAAAATGGACATCACACTTAACTCCGAAACATATACATGAACCAAAATTTAAAAAAAAAACATACAAGGTCCGTTTGAATTTGCATAAGGCCTTTAATTCAAAAGTGAATTGGATTTTTTTGCAATTTTTGCCTGAATTTCTCTGGTGTTGGTAAGTATATATACTGTATTGACGTCTCAAAGTCACGAAATCAATTGATGTTGGTACCTGATTAATGTATTCCAATAGCCACATTTAACCCAAATATAAATAAAATTTCTATAGCCTGATGTTTTCATCGCTGCATTATTTAGAGGGAAATGATAGCATTATAAAACAATTCTGTTTTTTTATCATTATTACTTTTTGCTGTATAAACTTTTACCAGTGTGTAAACTTATGAGTATCATTCTCGTGCAAAACGTGTCAACATTTGAAGTTATCTAAATTTTAGTGACAAGAGGTAAAATTTTGTCGCTAGACTTTCCACTGTTATTGTTACAAAAGATAATCAGTTTTACGTTACTAAATGTACGTTTTAAATTAGGTAAGTTTTCCATCATATTCCATAAATGGCACTAACATATGCACACCATTTGCGCATTTCATCGTTATAACAACAACGCAAGCCAAATTTTAGAATATAAAAGTATGACACCGATTTTAGTGCGCATGACTCGAAACTATACCTACACCAAATGTTTGATAAACCAAACAAATAAAACAATAAAAGCACCAAAACTAAACAATACATGAACAACGATGTAAGGTGTTTGGTTTTGAAAGATATCAGGATAATATTTTATCAAAAACCGATGTTCAAAGCTCCTAAATTCATTACGAAGACGAACATCTAGGAAAATACAAAAACAAAGCAGCAAGACCGAAAGTGTCGACAGAGTTAGCGTCTCTTGCAATACATGTATCAACTGTGATGCTAATCAACAATCAGTCAAAAAGTTACAATCGGTAATAGGACACAGTCGGTAAATGTACATATAAGCTGACTATTCTGGTACCTAGAGACCAAAGACCACTAAACATGTCGCTAGTCAGTTGAGACACATACATATCGTATCGGATATATTGAACTCGTCCATCTGTGTTAATATCGAGGACTCTTATTCATATCAAGTTAACCTGCAGAATTTACTGTTACATGTTGAAGCCAAATTGTCATTTAAGCGTTAAAAAATAAACTTAGAATAAGAAATCATTATGCAAAAATGTATTTTTGTATACTAAGTTTTCAACAGGTAAATTGAAAAAATAAGCTAAACTATCATGCAATTCTAGTTTTCATTGAATGAAATATCTATTGGAATTTCATGTTATACAATTCTCATATCCAAATAAAACTTTTCAAATAAGAATTACTGTTAAGACCTACGTTCCTGTACCTTGTTACAGTACATGATTACAAATAATATTCATAACGATATTATGAAACCAAAGACTTTAAAATCTAAACAAATTGAAAAACATGAAAAAAGTATATCTGTATTTAGAATCTATTACTTATATAATACAAATAGCACTCATTTGAGTAATGAACTTACGAAATTTTTATTTAACTTTCAGCAATCCTTCCTAATATTCCGTTACAAGATGAAACAAATGTAGTAGGTTGGTATAATTCTGCCAAGTTTATTCAAAAGATTTTACAAGATGAATGGGGAAAACATCATTTCGTCCAACGAGAAAATGACATTTGTGTGTTTATTGTGTAGTTGAGATGCTATCTCAAAGAAGCGTAGCCAACATCGTCTTTTATGCATTCAATCATTTTTCAACGTATCTTTGACGATGCGGATTGGTTTTGTGAATTTTACGACTTAACGTTGCGATTTTACTTGAATTAGAAGGAATATGTAGCATGATTATGTATTAACATTAGAAGAAGCTTGCATTTAATAAACTCAATTAATTTGCATTTCATTTTATACAGGTGTGGCAGTAGGCGTTACAGTTGGACTTATTACAATTGTCGGAGTCATTGTTGTGTATATATGGTTTATTAGAAGGTAAAGACATTTGTAATTAAGAGATAATCTTTTATATCCTTCAACGTTATAAACATTAATTACTATGCCATTATATTCACACAACATTATAGTTGAGGAAGGGGTAGAGAGTGTTAGTATTGCCTAGCCTTAGATTTCACTAAAACACGGACCGATTGTATTTTTTCATGCAGTATTTCCGAATTTGTGATACCAGTTTTGAACAAGTCAGTTATACTTTGTAATTTGATCAGAAAATGTATGAGTGTGAAAGTAATTATTTTGGTATATATTAATTGAAATGAACAAGACGGGAACAAGTTTGACAACATATCAAACTTAGTTTCTTTAAGGTGGGTTGGTTGGGTCATAATTATACTGAGTGATTGAAATTGATAGAGTAATGATTTATTTGTGTTTTTTTTTTTTCTGTAGAAAAGTGACAGATGACAAACAGGATATAACTTATCATCAAGATGAAAACAAATATAACACCGGCAATGAAAACACCGAAATTCCTTCGGACTCCAACTATGAGATGTTGACAGCTGATCAAGAATCGAAAAGTTATGATAAATTATATCTAGATTTTAGGCAACATTCTTGTCGAGATCATCCAGACAGAAACAACAAAGACATCGAAAATGAATACATTATTCCGTGTCAGGTAACCCAAAAGAATAAATCGAAACAAACATATGAGGACCAAACAGTCAATCACATAGAATTGAGCATTGGAACTGGAATCAGAGAACAAACACAGAGTTCATTATCCAATTCTGCAGATTATTTTATAGTTCTTGAACCTAAAGGGGACCAACATGTACAACATCCCAATTCCAATATATACGAAATGGCAAAACCTATAAATGGAAATGTAATGGATAAATAAGAAAATGTATCAGAAAATGAACATTTTGTATTCGATTAAGATCAATTAGATGTTTCGGGAAAACATATTTGCCCTGTTAATCAGCAGGACATATATAGTAGAACTGTTGACCCAGTGAACTATAGTTCTTCTCAAAGCAACATAAAACTGTTATCCATCTTACATGCGACAAAGTCTATCGTTCGACAACAAAACATGCCTTTAATAAAGCATTACATTATTTGTTACAGCTAGCATTATTCTTCATGTTCCGCTATAAAGATGATGTTCTCTCATTCAAAATTCAGTGCTTGATGACTATGTTGAACTATTCCATCCCATTGAACTTTAAAGAAAGGATACTGCAGTTACATTTAAATCTGCTTTGTGTCTTCAATTACATCCAGAAATTGATTATTGTGGCAACATTCCAGCAGAGATGTCCATATGGTTGTGCTAATCTTCCAGGTGATACCATATTAGCTTGCATATCAATCACGATTTCCTCGATCAAAAGATGTTGCTTACAACGAAGATGATAAACCGAAATTCCGAATGAAAAACTTGGATATTATTCTTTAGAGATATGTATTAATTTTTCTTATCTAAATGGAATACATGTCACAGATAACCTCAGATATGTTTTATAAAATGTTGTATGTTTTTTTTTTATCAATTTTCTTTGTCATGGTCGTGTCTGTTTTTCTGTTTTCTAAATGTGACCTTGTCTGCTTTTTGGTAATTGTCGTAGCCACAATCCGTTCTTTTTTTTTTCTCAATTTTGACATCCACGAATGCGGCTTATCATCGATTTGTCCCATGGGTGCCACTAATGGAACGCAATCCGCCTATTCTTCTGGAGAACTTGAGAATACCGATTTTTTTTTTTTTTTTTTTTTTTTAACTCAGTCTTAAGTTTTTTGTGTTTTGTTTTTTTAGACTGTTTTTTGTCTTATCGTTGTTTTTATTTTTGCAATTTTCAAAATCAATTATATTTCTTAAGTGTCAGGCAAAATTTAACGATAATGTGGCGATTTCCTCTATAATTGATTAATTTAGAGTCATAATAGGAATGTAAAGAAATCAGTAGTATTGAGTTTATATTTTATACTTCGAAATATGTTCAACACTTTTATACCTATCGATTAAAAGCCTTGTTATTTATTGTAACATGTTGCCTTTAAAGACTATTTCAAAAATAATAAACATCTGTTGAAATGATAGCAGGACACAAAATGGAATATTGTTAGAATTTCAATTAAATTTAACAGCCACTATAGTAGTCCAGTACCAGTTACCGTCAGAAATTCGCCGTTTTTCTCAAATAATTTATTAACTGGAAATACTTTTGGAAATATTCTTTTAACACGAAAAGGGGTAACCAAAAGTTAAGTTTTTGACCATGGACTCGGAGATTAATTCCTCTTATATACAGCGAAAAGCGGGTTAGTAGTGAGGCGATTTCTGCTTGAAATTTTGTGGATACGAGGCCCAGTTACCGTCACTTATGAATCTAGTTCCTAAATTATAGAAATGTCCTATTAACAAGAAAATTATTGTCATATTTTGTTGTTTTGAGATGGAGGTTCGTCAAATGAGCCAACAATATCGTCATTCTGTCCATAAATATCAAATATCTCGGACTTTTGCTCAATCTGAACGAATCTCGAATTTATTTCACCTAAAATCAAACAATTACACTGTACTGAAGGGGATCATAGAAATTGATTCTAAAATTAATAAACCTTTTTTTTTATATACCTTTCAAGAAAATTCTATGTCCAAATTAAGTTTTGCTATTACTTTATCTGAAAACAGCTAGTGTTCTAAAATTGAGGGCGTCATAAAGTGATGACGTCATGTTCCCGCTAGTGTATCTCCCTACGACGTGGCGAAAGAACTCAAAAACAAATCAAGATTTACGAGTTTTGAGTTGATCAAACAAAACCAAGTTTTCAAAAAATAAAATAAGAGTTTTTTTTAGATAATAGCAGTATGCCGTATTTACACAATGCGTCCGTTATTGCATAACATGCAAGGTGACGGTAACTGGTCCTCAGAGTATACACTCACATTTATAATACCAAATCTCATAAAACACAAATTAATCAAGTTAAACTAAGGATGATGGCATGTATTTTGCCAAGTTAGTCATTAAAATGTTGCAGGGTTAATAGAAATAAGAAGATGTGGTATGAGTGCCAATGAGACAACTCTCCATCCAAAAGTCACAATGTGTAAAAAGTAAACAATTATAAGTCAAAGTACGGTCTTCAACACGGATCCTTGGCTCACACCGAACAGCAAGCTATAAAGGGCCCCAAAATGACTAGTGTAAAACAATTCAAACAGGAAAACCAACGGTCTAATCTATATAAAAAACGAGAAACGAGAAACACTTAAAAACCACATCAAAAAACGAGAACCGAAAAACACTTAAGAACCACATCAACAAACGACAATCACTGAAACAGGTTCCTGACTTAGGACAGGTGCAAACCATGCAGCGGGTTTTAACGTTTCAACAGGCGCCAACCTTCACCCTAACCTGAAATAGTAGTGTAACATTACAACAACTTGTTTTTCAGTTCTTAATTCTCATCATTCTCGATCTGTGAAATAAAATCAAAACGTACATAAAATAATGTATAATAAAATAGATTTAAGAAAAATACGAAATCTCTGAAAAGCCATCACGACAACACGACAACATGACGCAGGGTCAAGTAAAAAAAATAAATGCATGCTGAATCAAATGTGAAATGTACACTAAGACGAAACAACATCCCTAAAGCAAGGGAAAATTAACAATATGATATACAAGGTATTTCCGTTTGTCATACACTTTGGTACGAAGATTACCATGAGAAATTTCGATAGAGGTGTTAAAAGGATAACGATCTTTGAAGTATCTGTTCGTATAAAGTTTTCTCTGCTAGTACAATATGTAAATCTGTCGTTTTTCATAAATGTCCTTTTCTGTCAATGTTACTTTAATTGGTTTCCGCCAATGTGCTGTTGAATTAAGTTGCTTTGAAATTTAAGAAATAGAGTCATTTTCATTGTATTTTATTTCAATCAGATTTAAAGTATCATTCTAAACTATTGGAATGAATGCAATTACATCTTTAAGTTTGTATTGTAACGTTTTGAAGTACGTTTTTGTCTGCTCAATTATCAAAAATGAATGTAAATAAATAGCACAAGACAGCAGGTCTAATAGATTTTTTTTTTACAAACATTAGGCATGTATTTTTAAAATGAATACATTTACAATACATCAAAACAAAGAATTCGTCCGCGGTGTTACAATGACAGTTTTAATCTTTTGCCTTTTCATTTGTTCTTAAATGTGATTTTGTTATTTAGAATACGGATATTAAAATGATGTACAACGAGATCAGTACTTGACCCTTTAAATTAATGTTCGGCTACGAAGCAAGCATATCTTGTAAATGTGACACCTATTTAAATAAACAAGATTGATTTGTTTGATTGTTTAATCGCTTTCATTAGAATGTGTGAGACGGAGTTCCAGTAGATCGTGTAGTGTGATAAAAATTCGTAAGGGTTCCGCGGAACCCAGTGTCTCGCCTACTTTTTCTATTAATCGCAGGCTCAACAAAAATGAGGAAGTAAATCAATAAAATTATTCCTCTTGATACTATCTTTTGATTGTAAGAAGCTTCTGTCCAAGTTTGGTAAACATCCAGGATAGTTTATGAATCTAATAAATGTTTAAAAACTTTAACTGCAGACTGAATGTAATGTTAACTGGAAGAAAACAAAATTTCCTTCTAGATACTAGCATTTGATCATAAACAAGCTTCTGTCCAAGTTTGGTACAAATCCAAAATAGTATAAGAAAGTTATTAAAATTTTAAAAACTTTAACCACAGAGTGAATGTGTTGTTTCCTGGCAGAAAATCTAAGTCCATTTAAAAGTAAAATACGGAAAAAATGGATTTATTATTTTTTTTACAAAATTTCCTTCTAGATACTAGCTTTTGGTCATAAACAAGCTTCTGTCCAAATTTGGTACAAATCCAAAATAGTATAAGAAAGTTATTAAAATTTTAAAAACTTAACCACAGAGTGAATGTGTTGTTTTCTGGCAGAAAATCTAAGTCCATTTAAAAGTAAAATAAGGAAAAAATGGATTTTGTTTTACAAAATTTACTTCTGGATACTATCTTATGATCACAAACAAGCTTCTGTCCAAGTTTGGTAGAAACCCAGGATAGTTTAAGAAAGTTATTAAAATTTTAAAAACTTTTACCACAGAGTGAATGTAATATTTCCCAGCAGAAAAACTAAGTCCATTTATAAGTAAAATACGGAAAAAATGGAATTTTATTTTTATAAAATTTACTTCTGGATACTATCTCATGACCATAAACAAGCTTCTGTCCAAGTTTGGTAGAAATCCAGGATAGTTTAAGAAAGTTATTAAAATTTCAAAAACTTTAACCACAGAGTGAATATTTGTGGACGCCGCCGACGACGACGACGATGACGACGCCGACGCCGACGGAATGTAGGATCGCTATGTCTCGCTTTTTCGACTAAAGTCGAAGGCTCGACAAAAATGATAGCTACAATTGTCTTCCCAAACAAAGAGGAAACAATGTAAGGTTAAAAATGGTAGCTCGGGTTGTATCAACATACCATCTTCATTTTTTCGAGAGAAACAGCGAACAGTTGAGTAGTACGAAATCTATAAAACTGAGTGTTCAGAAAGAAGGAATTATTGTATTCCTTAATTGGAGAGTGCATTCTCTAATTGCAATGTGTGTAGATGACCCAAAGATTGCTACTTTTTCTATAAATGAATTATTCTTTTCTCAAAGTAATTTGTAACTTTATCCGTAGTTCTTGCTAAAAGAGAGGCGAAAGATACCAGGGGATATTCAAACTCAAAATGAAAATAAACTGACAATGCCATGACAAAAACGAAAACGACGAAAAGACAAACAATAGTACACAAGACATAACATAGAAAATTAAAGACTGAGCAACTCGAACCCCACCATGAAATGAGTATGATTTCAGGTGGTCTGAAAGGGTAAACAAATCCTGCTTCACATGTGGAACCTGTCGTGTTGATCATGCTAGTACGAACCTGATGATAAGTATAACTCGGTGGGTTACATTCGAGGAAAAGAAAACTGGATTGTGGTTACGACAATTGAAACGTATCTATCGTCATCTGCGAAACAGATATTCCATAACGGTTAATTTAAAAGCTTTCTTTTAAGCAGCAACCCTCTATCAAAGAAATCATGATAGGAAATGCAAGCTCTTGAATATCGCATCAACTGGGAGATATATACTTCGTAGGAGCTACATAGAAAAGAAAAATTCACAATTGGGGATCCTTCATGGTATTAAAATACGGTAATCCTTCTATTGTCTTTCTTATACATGTTATAGTCACATCTTCAGTAGCTTTATTGTATCAACAATATTTTAAAGGGTAGCACAACTGTACATATAAAAAAGAAGATGTGGTATGATTGCCAATGAGACAACTCTCCACAAGAGACCAAATGACACAGAAATTAACAAATACAGGTCACCGTACGGCCTTCAACAATGAGCAAAGACCATACCGCACAATCAGCTATAAAAGACCCCGAAGTGACAATGTAAAACAATTCAAACGAGAAAACTAACGGCCTAATTTATGTAAAAAAAAATGAACGAAAAACAAATATGTAACACATAAAAAAACCGACAACCACTGAATTACAGGCTCCTGACTTGGGACAGGCACATACATACAGAATGTGGCGGGGTTAAACATGTTAGCGGGATCCCGACCTTCCCCGTAACCTGGGACAGTGGTGTAACAGTACAACATAAGAACGAACTATAAAAATCAGTTGAAAGAGGCTTAACTCACCAGATGGATAAAAATTTAAATACTACTTACAAGTGGACGTGGCCGGGTACTTGTACATCCAAACAACAAAAAGACACTAAGTACAGATCTGAGAGTACTCGCAGTTACTGACAGCTAGTCCAAAGCCACTAACAACTAATAAAAAAAAATCATGCATCTAAGACTAAATTATCAATCCGTACACATCCAACATCCAATGGATTTAGTGTAAAGACGTCATAAACAGTCAGAGGAAAACATGACCGTGTGCAAAATGTACATTTTGTGTACGTTAATTTAACTGCCCAAAGTTCCCTATAAATAAAGCCAACCATAGTTTACCGATGTTAAAATCTCGCAAATTTATTAAAAAGAGACAAATAAAAAAAAACAACAAAAAAATCACAAACATGGGGAATCGCACTCTAACTCTAAAAGGAGCAAAACCGTGTGCCTCAACATAGTTTACGTCTCATCACCCGTCATGCAAGTCCACACTGAGTCAAACTGTCTTAATCGAGAACAAGACCCAATCTTGATAAAGTCAGTCCATGTCTTGAAATAAAAAAGAAGGGCGTTTCCAGTTGATTATGATTAAACACATTCGGTCCATAAAAAGACAACAGATCTTCATATTAACTTATATCTTAGATAGACTAACTATTCAAAAGATCATGCATTAGTGATTCAGTCGTTTCACAATATCCTCACTCTGGCGCATGACGTCTTCAAACGAATTTTATCGAATTCGAGGATATCATTAATATTTTAACAAATATATTAGAAGCTTTTTACGTAAATAGAAAGTACCATTATAGTACGAAATAACTAAATACTTTTTTTATAAATCATCAAAGATTGCAAGCCTATGTATTACGCCAGACGCGTTTTTTGAATAATTCAAATTTTATACACTGAAAAATAATAGAAATGACTGTATCATTGACATTTCGTGTCTTCTTGGCTGGCGATACGAAACGTCCACCAGCAGTAGCATCGACCCAGGGGTTGTAAACAATTATCAAGATACAAGGCTTATAAGCGCCACGCCAGACGTGAATTTCGTCTACCTAAGACGACTCATCATAAACATGTTGAATTCAACACTTATTCACATTAAAAAAAAATAAATCAAAAGTAAAAAAAAACCCTCTGACGGGGCGTGCGTATGATTCATCAAGCCTACGCACCAATAGAGCTTGCTTTTTACATTTTGACGAAAGGTATGAACGAACATGAAAGGAAAACGTATTACATTCCCATCTTAGCACTGAGAGTCTATATTCTATCCGGTAAAACGACATTCTTTTCTTGATAAAATGAATCTTTAAAGAATTAAGCATATTGGAAATAAACATGTAATCAATATCTGAAAATAAAGAAAAAAAGTTTAAAATACACTTACGTCCGATCAGTTGAATATGTTAACCACACTTATACTCATTTACCCGGGAAATGTTCCAGCATGCAATCATTAAAATGTTTAGATCATTAACATTTTAATGACATTTTTAAATTATGATACTCACCAGCAGTAGCATCGACCAAGTAGATGTAAAAACTTATCAAGATACAAGGCTTATAACGTGTTACGCCAGACGTTAGTTTCGTCTTCTTAAGACAACCCCTCATAAAAATGTCGTATTCAAAAATAATGCTGTATCGTTTAAAAATATGTTTATCAACTGAATTATTACTATTGATTGACAAAAAAACAATTTATTTTTTAATTTATCAGGAAATGATAGTTTACTCTGTCATAGTATTTATAAATCGAATGAATTTTGCACTTCATTTTGATCTGGTGTTTTTTAATGTATTGATGTTTAGTATTTAAGGTAACTCCAGTGTTGACGTTAATAAAAGGTATACTATTTACAGTAGAATACAATTAAAACATTATTAGTATTCAAGAATTATCTGTGGTGTAAATGTTAGTGCGTTGGAAATTATGACAAAGATGATAAAAAGAAATTCCGGGTTTTATTATCGCTATCGAATATGAACTAGTTTTTTCATACCAAAACATTTCTAAATAAAGTTTTTAATACAGTTTAAAAAAACGTAGGAATACCTATAACAGGTAAATTATCCGAGAGGAAGTTTGAAAAGGACAATGTGGATATGGAATAGTCATAGTACTACATTAAATGATTTAAAGTACATTTACTCTCTATATGAAAAATTGTATCCGTATCTAAACGTTTATTTCATGATTGGTTGATTTATTATAATGTTTACTTTACTACTAGTATTATTGGAATGACCTTAATTTCCTTGTAAAGGAAGGTGTACAACATACGCCGTTGAAATGGATGATATTATATATAACTCTTTACGACTGTCTCTTGCAATATTATCATTTGCAGACAAATCACAGGGTAAGGATTTGATTTGATTTTTTTCAAGTATGAATTGACATGAACACTTCATACATGTTTCATATGGCATGACCATATGCGTATATATTCATATGGTCCGACCATACGCGTATTGTCCAAGTAATTAATACGACGAAAGTTGAACAGTAATTGCGTAATTCACGGTGTGATGGATCAAGAGTTTCGAAAAATGATATTTTGACTTAGATAATAATTTGGTATTATTCATTGTAACGTGATTGATGAAATAACATGAATTTTACTCACAAGTTAAAATTATGTAGAAGCATTTGTGCATGGTCATTATTAGTTTTTCTTTACGACACACGATATGGCGACTCCGAAATTAACTAAATGAACTGTTAAGTAAGAAGTCAACTGTTTTACACATTAGCAATTTCAGCATTGAATCCCCTATTTTCTTACTTGTAAATTAAAATTTCTTAAACATTTCAAATTATTTCTAGTTATTTAATTTGTTCATGCTGCTCTTTATACGATTTACAATTACAGTAGTGTGTACGTGCTGCCCCTTTATTCTTATGTCGAAACCACTGTTATTGTAAGATCGTATGAATAAGAGTAGGAACACACCAGTTTAGTGAAAATAAGTGGAAATTAGAAGAAATTTAAGAAATTCTAATATAAACACCGGGGAAAAGAACAAAAATGTCCATGCCCAAATTACCTGTGATTTCACATACTGACGAAACTGTCGACAGGATAAAGGTGCTTAAAATTGACTCCAGATAGCGAAGGTAAGACAAGAAATATACCAATATTCAGACAATATATAACAAAGATAAAGGATTTCAGTTAATAACTTGTGCCGAATATGGTTCAGAGAACGAGCTGTGTCTGTAAAGGAAGTTTGAATTTAATCGAAAAATACCTGTATGGTCTAAATACTCATATGGTCCGGCCCGTTAAAAATCAAACGAATATATTCTCATATGGTGCGTCCATACGCGTATGGTCGGACCATATGAGTATATCAATATGGTCATGACCATACGCGTACGGTTCAAGTACTCATATGGTCCGGAACATTGCCAAAGTTTACCGGATCGTGACATCGATAAACAATAAACACAAAGCACGTAGAAAACGTGACAAATAAGTGAATTGAAAGAGTAATGACATTTGTTTTTATATTTTCCATGCGTTCCCATTTGTTAATTAAACATGTTAAACTTTTCCTTAACAATTGTTAAATGATTTGTTGTATTAAATTTGCTATTTAAGAATCTGTTATTACTATTTACCTTCCAGAGCACGTTTGTTTACATTCTTTCATCATGGTTTTCGCTCGCACTTGGGCTGTTCGGTGGCCGAAGTTATACCGTGAGGTCTCTTAGTAAAGGTCCATGCATACCGGAAAATATCGGCGAATTAGTGCCTGGGAAGTCATTAATTCAATATTGGTACATTTATGAAGATTTTGATGAAATAAAGGATTTTCCTTTAAAAGAAAGTTCACGTTCACTTGTTTTATGGTAGAACATAGCCATTCAAGTATATAAAACATAATCAACTTTTTTTTTAAATTGAAGTTTCATATGACTTTAACGTATTTATAGGCTACTGGGAACAGTATTGATATGTTCTTTTTGGCAAACAACTACTTCAGAAAATAAAAATAACATTTTGTCATTAATAAACATGTTGTCGATTTTATGCCGTTTATCGGTTACGAAGTTACTTCTATTTTTTGGGTTGACATAATATATACAATGCATCAGTAAGAATCACTTATACTATGTTCACACAACATTACGTTTTCATTTACCAGTTCATAAACCTAAATAGTATATGCAAATAAGATTCTAATGAGCCTTTACCTTTCAATATTCGTTGTTGTCAACAAATAATTTCTATTGTCATTTCACATCCTTAGTGAATTGAATAGGGATTTGATTAGTATCTGATAAATCTTCCAAATAGTACCACCTAATAGTTACCTTAGTATCAATTCGTCAAAATGGGTTCAGTATTTCAGCTGATCATTCTCTTGTAATTGTAAAGACATTGTTTTACATTTGTACATATTTAAGAATTTCCGTTTGTCTGAATGTAAGAAATGAAATGATCCAAATTAATGAACTGAAAACTTTTGAAATAAAAATATTACAAAACAGGGACATATTGATTTTTTTTAATAAACTCTTCTTATTGAAATCATGTCTACTGATTCATTGATATGTACATTATAAATCGTGAAACAAGGGAAGACAGTTCCAAAAGAATTATTGGATATGTTGTTGTGTTGTTCTTTAAGAAAATATTGGCGATTTATAATGAGAATAATTTCAATTCCATGACAGTGGGAATGCCAGTGACATTGATGAGTTCCTTCTGGTAGTCACGTAGGAAAGGGGACATAATCTAAAAATTTCGTGGTGGCGCTGTAATCAGCGTGTAAACAATAAAGTAGCCTGTGTTTCAGAAAATAAATTCATCAAAACACCTTATTATTTAACAGTATTTGCGGTTAAATTTTCATCAGAATAGATTTTATCACACGTCTGCAAAAAATGTATTAAAATAAATAATTGCTTCGTTATTGAAATATGATAAATCAAGTGACGACCACCGTTGTCTTTAAAAAAAACCGCGGGTAATACCCACGTCTGAAAATAACTGACACAATTGCATCCTAAAACTTTTCATTTTTTAAGATATAGAGAAATGTAACCGAGAAACATTTGGGCACGTGACTTTGTTAAGAATTTCCAATCACTATGTGTCTTGTTTACATTATAAACCCTTGAACCGGAGGTTAAAATTCTAACATTTTTCTAACGTTTATAGAGTTATTTCATTGCAAAATGGAGCACAAGATGTTAAATTTCCCAATTTTCAACAAAATTGACTAAAACAATGAAATGTGACGATGTTTTCTGGTATTCAAATGTATTTTATATAAAAATGGTGAGAGGTTGAAGGCTTCGTTCCGTCATTTGTTGATCTTTTCCGTATTTCTCAGACTGCTCGTATCAATAATATTCTGCAGTTATTTGGTTTTACAGCAGTGTATAACAGATTTTATGTAATACATTGAAACTGGATTTGTCTATGAATGAATTTTCATAATGACTTCAGTTATCTGGAAGTGTCCCCCCTTTTTTCCCACTTTCAAGACACTTCAGAGGGAGTAAAACATATTGTCTTAATGAAAATCTTGCACAAATGCAAGGTGTAAACACTCAGCTAATCTCTGTTTAAAAGTACACAACAAAATAATCACATGTAAAGCCTGACATTCATTAAAAGCAAATTATTATGGTGTGTTTCATGCATCAATATAGCCTTAGGTACCCAACTTTGTTATCAGTTTTAAAGAAAGTTCAACTTTAAAAATTTATGATAAAAGGGATGATTTTTCATTTCCTATCGTTAATTATCAATTTTTAGATGGTGACGTTCCCTTGTCACCATCTTATGGTGTTTATATATCTCAACTTGTACTATTCGCTCGTGTTTGTAACAACGTATTAGATTTTTATGTATTACTGAAAAAATATTACACCAGGGTTTTCGATATCATAAACTGGTCAAAACATTTACTAAATTTTATCATCGGTATAAGGACATCATTCATAAATATAACTCAACATGCAGACATCTTATACGTTCGGGTATTTCACTTCCAATCTTTTATGGTAATATTCTTTACAAAGCACAAAAATGTCAGGATTCACCCCAAAAGCTAACAAAACCTTTAAACAGACTTACTAAGAAGGGATATGGTTACGATACTGTTGTCAGGTCATTAAAGATTGCATATTTTGGCTTTAATATTGATTCACTTATAGGGTCTTTGCATCGGAATTAAACATATTTATTCTAAAACCAGTTGTTGGCATGACACGGGTTATGTTCTTCTCATATATTTTATGATGGTATAATACTAAACCCCTAACAGGAGGGATTGTCCCTGATATTCATATGATGAAGACATAATCTTTCAATCAGTTTAATTGAGGTCTGGAGCTGGCATGTCAGTAACTGCTAGTAGTCTGTTGTTATTTATGTATTATTGTCATTTTGTTTATTTTCTTTTGTTTCCTATTCTGACATCGGACTCGGACTTCCCTTAAACTGAGTTTTACTGTGCGTACTGTTGTACATTTGTTTTTTCTACATTGGCTAGAGGTATAGGGGGAGGGTTGAGATCTCAAAAAACATGTTTAACCCCGCCGCATTTTTGCGCCTGTCCCAAGTCAGGAGCCTCTGGCCTTTGTTAGTCTTGTATCATTTTTAAATTTAGTTTCTTGTGTATAATTTGGAGTTTAGTATGACGTCCATTATCACTGAACTAGTATACATATTTGTTTATGGGCCAGCTGAAGCACTCCTCCGGGTGCGGGAGTTTCTTTAGTGGATTTCTTTAGGGGAATCTGTATTAAATGCCATTTATTAATTTTTTAATTGTAACCTGTATTTTATACTCACCACTTAGTTCAACAGTATATATTTTCTCTGTTACATTAGTGCAGTAGGTGTTGGCAATGATTTGTTTAGTCTTACTATACAAATCCTTGGTGTTGGCAAAACAAAAATAAACCAACTATTGGATAATCCTGACAACTATGAATCCATTATATTAATTAGGTTTGTTTTGCTTTCAATTAGAACTTGAACATTTTTTAGCCAAATGATCACAATCATTCTTTGTTTCTGTTAACATTTAACTGAGAAGTGTCAACTTGTCAATTTAAATGTTAAAAGTATCAATCAACAAGTATTGCCTGCCACTGTGACCTGAAATGCTGATGAGTCAATTATTTTCACTTGATTTTTAGTGTTTGTTCTTGTTGTATAAAAAACTGTACCAGGCTACTGGAAAGGTAACACTCAAACATGTGTATGTGCTTGTCCTTATCAAGGAACCTGTTGGACACTAACCATTTATTTTTAAGTGTGTCTGGGGCATGTCTAACTCTTGAAAAAATTTGTTCCCATCAAGAATTAGGGAACCAATATTTGTTATTGAGTTT